AGGATAGTTTTGGTCTATTAAGTGATCTTTTATTAACAAGTTTAAAGTAGTAGTTCTTTCAGATTTGAGGTTGTTACACCTTACCGAAAATTCAAAGACTTTTCCTAAAATATGGTGAAACATATTTTGGATGAAATCATTATCAAATGAAATCTATTTCGGATGAAATATTTCTTAGATGAAAGCAGTGTTGGATGAAGCCATCATTTAATTTGATGGTTTCACTACTGAAATAAGTTTGGATGAAACCATTATTTTATTTGATGGTTTCATTACTCAAATGGATTCATTTGACGGTTTCATTATTGACAAAAACAATAATAAAAACAAATACCAATTCCATTATTGATGAAAACAATAATAAAACCAAATACCAATTCTAACTGCTCCCGATTTCATTATTGACGGAAACAATAATAATAAAAAAAATACCAATTCCAAGATTAAAGGGTTGCCTTAAAAACCATTATCAATATCCCAATATATCAGGTAGGTTAATTAGAAGATAAATATCTCAAACATGTCGTTAACAAGTAAAAACAATATCACCCTAAAAAATAAAAATAAAATAGGAAAACATTGAATAATTCGGTTTGGTTGAAAGAGGGTTGCAAAGTTTGTATGGATGTAAAGGTCTGTATTTGCTCTTTCATATATATATATATATATATATATATATATATGTGTGTGTGTGTGTGTGTGTGTGTGTGTGTGTGTGTGTGTGTGTGTAGGGGGCTAATAAAATGAGAACCAATTAATTTGTGGTAACTATGAAATCCTATGTGAGCCAATCATTTAAGATAGTATTTTTTCTTAAAATAAAATAGAAGGGTAAATTAGTAATTTTTGTTGATTATTCAATTTACTTTAACTAGTTTAATTGTTTTAATATATGTATACATACACACACAGACACACTGAGACCAAATCCGATGACCTTTTTCGGCACCCACAACCACTCTGGTGACCTCTACCGGTCATCTTGTCTGACCAAGACGTCGTCTCCGACGATCGACCACTAAACACCCACATGTGAGCATCCCTGACAGCTAGCCCCATCTTTGTCCCTGTGATCCCCTCACTACCTATCTCCTTTCCCTCATCCCTGCACTGACCACCATATTCATCGACACTTCCCTCGATCCCTCCCCCCAAACACCCTCATCGATCACCCTCCATCTGGGAGAACCCTCCACTCTGGTGGTCATCTCCATCTCAACCTTCTTCTCTAACCCAACCTCCAGACTTGCAACACACATACATACACTTCACACATACATATTGCATGCACACACTGCACATATATAACACACATTATGCACATTGTACACACACATACGTATACAACGTAGGTATCATAATGGTACCACAGTTAGTATCACAGTGGTCTCAAAGTTTACTTTGTATGTTTTGGGTTTCACATTGTATGTATTTTGGGTATCACATTGTGTATTTTGGGTATCACATTGTGTATTTTGGGTATCACATGGTGTTCTATAACATCCCCATAAAAAGAACCATATGGGTCTAACTTCAATTACCAAATAAGGAATGTTTGTAATTAACCCACCTTATAATCCACGTAGATGAAGATATGAAGATGAATAACAACTAATCCAGTTAAGTAATCACAGAATCAACTCCCTTATTTCCTTCTTCTTTTGGTTTTCTTTTCCTCGGGTTCAAAGAACACACACAGAGAAAATTCTCACCAACTTTCGTTTTTCATCATATACCATTCCAATGAGATGAACAAAATTATCTCATTATATTATGCTATTAAAGGAAAGAGGTGGTGGTATGATTCAAAACATTTAAGCATATTAACCATAATAACCCCTTAACTTACTACCACTTTTCAAAAACAACCCCGAGCTTTATAACCGATAAACCCATTTATCACAATACCTTTTTATTATTCAAGTTTCAAATGATGGGTCGTGGTTTAAAGGAAACATATTTGTTTTAACTGTTTTATGTTTTATATGATAAAACTGATTTAACTCACTAAGTGTTAAACCTAACACTTTTTCTTATCGACATGTATATCAGGTCATAGTAGAATCTGAGAGGAGTTTAGAGCTTTGTAGAGGATCGGGTAGGATGGTTGTACGGGCGTCATCCGGTTTTGAAGACTGCAAACTTAATGGTTTTAGTAACCCTGAAAATATTCTAATTCTGTTAAGGATTAGACTGCCCAGTTAGAACTCTGAAATGTTCTTGTTGTCTTTCTTATGCAAACTTTTAGCATTATGTTATTAAAGTTATTTTATTTTGATGAAATTTTGAAATTTTAAATTGTATGCTATTTTCAAATTTTAGGGGTGTTACATACGTCGTTTAAATGTAGAATTGGTATTTATAAAGATATTATATAGAAATGTTAAATTTTGTAAACAAGGAAAAATCCCCGATTCCCTGGTGAGACTAGGTAAGAAATCTTGTTCACCGATAGGGATGTGGATGGGGATTGTGATCCCTCGTATCCTCGATCTCATTGGCATCTCTAATAATAATATCTGATTGGTAAAACGACCTAATTTAATGGTTAATTGGGTGGTATCATATGTCAAACGTTAATTGGAGTAGAATGATTGTAAAAATCCAATATGCATATAATTATTGGATTGAATCAATTATGTCAAAAATACAGATCCAAACATATCCTATTGATGATCAGAGTAGATAAGTTCAATCAGTTGTATATTAGTATTGGTTGTTTATCAGAAGGATTTGATCAATTCAATATTGTGAATCAACTATTCAGACAGTTTATGATCCTTATCACAAATGAAAAGCGACAAGCTAGCTTATCTTTAATCAAATGATACAGTTTGATAATTCAGCTAATCAACAAATCACTTATGATCATTATCAGTGCGCACTTTATGATATTTGTCCTCGATATCCTGATTGCACACTCATCCCCTTTATGTTCAGTCGCTAAGTTATTGATTTTCCTGAATGTATGATAAAATAAATGTCAAAATCACATATTGTTCATTTAAGCATGCATGCATTTTTCATCATCATTCAACGAATGGACATAGAGACATCACTTTTGTTGTACATGAGTGACAAATCTTATCTCGATACATGTTTGTACTACCATATAAAACGTTACATATCAAACTACATTTACGTTACCCACATCTTAAGTGATTAGAACCAGTGTCAAAGTACATCATTTCACTACAACAAAATTGGGTTTATAGGACATCTTCAATCTCTAATTAATGTCCCAGTAGACCGCTTTATAGAAAACTTAACTTATAGGACCCAAATATAAAATGTCATATCTAAAGGTGTTGTAATAAGTTTATATGACGTTTTTGGGAGTCTTAATAAGTTTTTAGGACATTTTTAATATAAAGTGTCGCATTAGCAACTTTATATAACATTTTTTAGAAAGTGTCTTATAAACTCAATTTTTATAGGACATTTGTTTTTATAGAACAGTTTTTCAAATAATGTCTTATAAAGTTGCTAATGGTACGTTTTATATTAAAAGTGTCCTAAAAAACTTATTAAATAAAAAAAACATCATATAAACTTATTACAACGTCTTTAGATAAGACATTTTGTTTTTTTGGTCCTATAAACTCGATTTTGTTGTAGTGTTTACACAACAAACTCCATGTTCTTAAATCAAAAGTATACATATCTAATCGATCAGCATACAAAAAACAATCATGACATTCATATGACATACAATAGAGTGTTCTGTCTGAAGTAATATTCGACTAAAAACATGTTTTGTAACACATTTTGATTTTAATCCAAGATATAGCTTTCTTTAACTACTACAATTTTTTGACTTAATGCTATATTTCTTATAATAAAACTATACGGAGAGTAACATCCACGCGCTGGATCTGAAAGTGGAAGTTATATTTTACTAGTTTTGAAAAAGAGTGGACCCGGTGATGACGTGGAGTTTTCTAAATTCAAGAAGCATCAAGACCGACACCTAAAAATGTAGTTTCATTCCATGAATATGGAAAAAAAAACCTGGTTTTCCACACTAGGGGTGTTCAAAAAAACCGTTGGACCGCTCAAACCGGCCGAACCAAGTCAAACCGGACCGTTTTTGGCGGTTTGAGCGGTCTGGCGGTCCGGTCTGGTTTGGAAAATAACAAAACCGGGCGGTCCGGTCCGGTCTGCGGTTTGGAACATTTTTTGGGCGGTTTGGACCAAACCGACCGCCAAATATATATATATATATATACATATATTTATTTATTTAGCTATCTATTTGAATATTAGCAAACCCAACTTTTTTAACTTATTGACTATGACCCAAATATATCCCTAAGCCTAAGATCTAACATAATCAAAATCGACGACTAAAACCATTAAACCATTGAACATATCGACACATTTGATATTGACGGTCTCCAAATATTGAAATCCCTCAAGCAATCTATTGATCTTTCTAATCCATGATTTGATTTTGGCGCACATCATCAAGACATCAACCAAGTGATTCAACCAACTTAGATTTGGCTTCTATTTTGTTTGGTCAAGAACTCAAGACTCAAGAATTGAACCATTGAAGGTTGTGAGTAGAGTTGTAACTTTGTTAATTTGTTTGTTTTCTAATATGTTATATATTTATTTGTTTCTACTTTGAATTGCTTCGACTTTAAACTCAAGAGATGCTTAACTATTATATTTATTTGTTTGGATATTTTGTTTTGTTAAAATGGATATTTAATCTAAAATTCTAAATTATATATGTTTTTTTAAGTTTAATATTTAAAGTCCATTAAAGGCCCAAACCGCCTAAACCGGTCAGACCAGACCGCCTTTTCGTGGTCTGGTTTGACCGGTCTGGKCACTTGATGTCAAACCGCTCGGTTTGAAAATTTTATAAACCGCCATTATGATTTGGTTTGTGGTTTAAGGGGTTAAACCGCCCAAACCAGACCGCGAACACCCCTATTCCACACCTCCAATACCAGCCTTTTGAAACAGCTGCGGCCTCCCAAAACCCAGCGGCTCGCTTCCTCCACGTACCCCCATCAACCACCGCCAACCCAACTATAAATCCCACCATCCCTCTTCATCCATCTCTCTAATATCACTCCTTTCTCTCTCTAGACTCATAGATTCCATTAACAATGCGTATGAGTTGCAATGGCTGTCGAGTTCTCCGAAAGGGTTGCAGTGAAAACTGCAGCATCAGGCCTTGTTTGCAGTGGATCAAGTCGCCGGAATCTCAAGCTAACGCCACCGTGTTTCTTGCCAAGTTCTATGGACGTGCTGGACTCATGAACCTTATCAACGCCGGCCCTGAACACCTTCGTCCTGGTTAGTTTGTTTGTAATTTTATGTGAATCGAGTATGGTTTGAAAAAAAGATGGAGTTTTGATTGTTTTCCGGTGGTTATATACTACAGCGATATTCAGGTCACTTTTATACGAGGCTTGTGGTCGGATTGTGAACCCGATTTACGGGTCTGTTGGGTTGTTGTGGTCGGGGAGCTGGCAGCTTTGTCAGAATGCGGTGGAGGCGGTTCTTCAAGGTTCTCCGATTACCCAAATCGCGTCGGACACGGCGGAGACGAACAACGGACCGCCGTTGAAGGCGTATGACATCCGTCATATTATGAAGGACGAGAACTCCGGCGGATCAAACGAGCTTCACCGAGTCAGGACGCGTTGCCGGTTCAAGAGATCTGCGGCGAAAGGGAAAGCGAGCCGCGTCTGGATCGGGTCCAGCGAGGAGGAATCTGGTGTGATCGAGCATAACAACGACTTGTCGAGCCACGAGTCAGCCCTGAGCCATCAATCGGAGGCGGCGCATGCGGTGGAGGGCGAGAGCCGTGAGATAGTAGAGGAAAGCTTGGCTTCCGTCGAGACTCCACCGTCGAAGAAACATGTTGAAACTGAAGCCGAGAACATCGAACTAGAGCTGACCCTTGGCTACGAGCCGGTTGATAGGTCTAAAGGCAAAGAAGTAACTGTAAGTGCAGCTTTTGATAACTCCGGCACCGGAGTTGGCATCAGCAGTGTTGATCTGAGACTAGATTATCCGGCGTAATGGTATGATACTCCGGCGACTCAGTTTTGACGGTGAAGATGTAGGGTGGTCTTTTCTTTTAGTTTTTTAATTTTTCTTTTTGGCCTAATCAGGAAAGTTATGTACAATTGTGAATGGAAATGGGATGAAAAAGGTCAAAATAGGCCATGTTTGGTTGTTTCGTGTATCTTAAAATGGCTTTTTTTTGGGGGTATATATGTCTTTTTTTATAATTACAATTAATAATTTTCTAAATTTAAATCAACAATTTTGCTCTATTGGATACAATTTTCCTTTAGTTGGTTTTTTTTTATGTTAAAACATTTGGGGGTCAATTTGAGAAGAATGAAAATGGATTGGTTGTTTGGGATTGCTTATAAAAATAACTTATTGGTAATAAATATTTTTTAGTGTTTGGATAAACAGTTTATATCAGTGTCAAAATGGTAATGAATAGTTTTTGAAGAAGTTAAACTATTCTAATTTATAATAAGTTGATAAAGACTTTTTTTAAAAACACATAAGTTATTTCAAATAAGCAATCCCAAACACCCTTTAATATAAACTCAATTAATGTACAATAACGGTTTAAAAAATAGTAACGACAGTAGGGTAAGGATTATTCTATTATCGTATTTATTTAAAATAACAGATAATAAAATGGATAATTATCCATTTCATAGAACCCTCTTCCATATCAGTAACCTATCTATTGAAATAGTAGATAACAAAACGGATGATAGATAAATAGTAAAAATAGTCATTTTAACATATAGAAAATATTATTAAAACTTAAACATATAAATGAAACATAAATTTATAAATACATTATTTGTTTTATATAATGTAATATTCCAAAATAAAACATAAAAATTGAGAGAATACTTTTTGTTGTATTTATTTTTTAAACCCCGTATTATTTCTCATTTAATTATATCATGAACCCTTTATTTTAAAGATATAAAAAGGAAATTAAATTACACAATAACATATAACATACATAAAAACATTATCTATGATATATATACATATATACATATATAGAGAGAGAGAAAGAAAGCGTTTGGTTCAAATATTAATCAAAATTTTTGTGTTAACTTTGTTAACCAAACTCAACCAATAAAAATTTATTTTTTATCTAGGTTCATATTCATCTTATAATTTAATGACAAGGGTAAATATGTAATTTTAGTTTATATGTAACTCTCATATCATTAATTGGGAGTTACAAAATAAGAAAATATTATAATTGTTGTTAATTTACAATTGATCTTGATTTTCTATAATATTGATTTATTTATCTATAATGTTCTTGAATTTGTAATTGCTAAAGGAGACTCGATAGTACAGTTTTCGATATCGTTCAAGCTAATATGGATAAACTCATTGGAAAACAACTCGACAACAATGAGAAGATTATAATGGTTTACAACAACAATCGAACTTCGAGTTCCGGAAGTGAAGACAATAATCAAAGCGTTTGTATTGGTAATTGATTAATATGTTATTGTATTTGTTTTAATCGAAATTATGTTGATTATGACATTTTTGTGTTTTTTTATAGTTCATATTGTGTTGGTAGTTTTTTCTTTAATTATTACTACGAGCCCAATTCATATGATCAAATGGAAATAGTTCATTGTCAACTTAATTTGTTATGCAATCCAATTCTGATAATCATTCGGCTCCATCAACTACTTGTGATGTTTGMCCTGCCATAGACTGCAACTAGTGTTCATATACGTTCAGGTGTGTTTATATATATTCTACTAGGGACATGAATCAAGACATCTAATATTGAATTTTATAAATTTTGTTAATTTAATATTGATCTTGTTTTTTCATAATTTTAATTTTTCTATCTATAATGTTTTTGAATTTGTGATTGGTAGAAGAGACCTGGTAGTAAAAATTTTGGTATTGTTCAAGCTATTATGGATAAACTCATTGTTCATAATGAATGAACTATTGTTCACAAGTGTTCATATTGTGTTTATATGTACACTAGCTGCATATCTCAACATTGGTTTGCTCCTGAATGTGTTCATACTGAAGGAACTATTGTTCACAAGTTGTTCATATTGTGTTCATACATGTTTTTTTATTTATTTAATTTCGTGTAGCAACTATTCTTATTATGTTCATATTGTGTTCATACCTGTTTTTTTATTTATTTACTTTCGTGTAGCAATTATTCTTATTATGTTCATATTGTATTCACAAATGTTATACAGTCCAAGTTCATATATATGTCAATTTTTATTCGTATTTGACATAATGGTTCATATATATATATATATATATATATATATATATGTGTGTGTGTATGTCTTCATATGGTTCTTACATTAACAAAAATAATGAGATTTTTTGATTTTGTAACTCCTAATTAATTATATGGGAGTTACATAAAAAAGAAAATTATCTAAATACTTTTTTTCCTCTTTGTTCACATATTTTCTTTGAAATTGTAAATTTAAAAAATTAATTTTTTATCATTATTAATCACAACCGTTTATTGTAAGAATCAATGGCCAATATTGATTAACAAAGTTACCACAATAATCTTGGTTAACATTTGAACCAGCCCATATATATATATATATATATATATATATATTATATTAGGGTAATGGGTAAGTGAATAACGAAAAACCATTTATCCATACCTCCCTCACTAAAACATTGGGTAAACAGGTGATATATATAATATATATTGTATTGTATAGTTGCATAATATACACACAGAGAGAGAGATATCAAATAAAAATCAATTTTTCATTTGTGAACTAATGGACAAATCTTGGTCTTTTATCTCCACTTGATTCAATAAAATTTTAATTAAAATTATTTATTAAGGTAATTAGGAGTAAAAAAAAGAAATAATTATATGAATTTTCCTTTTATTCTTTAATTAAAAACTTTTACTCCCTTAATTTATAAATTAAATTATTTTAAAAATTACTAATATTTTATTAAACAAATTGATTCATTCTCTTTGATATAATATCTATCTCAATATAGATTTTTCGTTTTAACCCTTTTGTACTTGAAATGATATATATGTGTAATATTCAGTATTATGCTTAGGCACGTAAAATAGCTCGACACCATAAGTCGGTAACTCGACATCACATTTTTCAACGTCGTAAGGCATCACATTCTTCATCATCGTAACCCAACACTCATCGAGATCGATCGAGAACCTATCGAGACTAGAGGTGTGTAAAACCCGAATTATCCGACATCCGAACCCAAACCCAAACTGAAAATAAAGTATTTATGTAAAACCCGAATGTCCCGAAATTCGAAAATCCAAAAACCGATTTTTTGGAGAAAAATGGGGTTTGAGTTTTCACCACCCGATCCATCCGAACACCCGAATTATATATACATGTATATTTTAAATACTTTATAAATATACTTATTTATCTAATTACCTCTTGAAAAAATTTAAACATCTTAGTCATTCGTGTTTTTTTCTAATTTCTAAACATACTATTGATTTATCAATCCTTGATTGAGTTCATCGCCAAAATTGATTGGATATATATATATATATATATATATATATTGCATTATAACTAAACTCGAACCCGACTGACCTCAACCCGAAACCCGACCAACCCAAACCCGAAGAAAATCGAAATCCAAAATCCAAAAATTGGGGATCGATTTCCATATCCGAAATCCGATCAGATTTTGATTTTCCCACCCGAACTCGTCCGACCCGCCTGATACACACCCCTAATCGAGACCGATCGAGAACCTATTGGAACCGGTCGAAAATCCATTAACTGACTTGGTGTGTGTTTATGTGTGTTAAACCATAACCTACCACCTTCACTTCCATTGAGAATCTATCGGTTGATTTATTATGTGTTTCTCTGTGTAAAATCATAGTCTACCACTTTCAGCTTTTATCGAGACGGATCGGGAACCTATCCAGACCAATTAAGAACACATCAAGATTTATCGAGAACCCATTGGACCAATCGTCACCAATTAAGACTAACCGAGACAAATCAAGAACTCATCCATTGACTTCCTATGCGGTAAAATCATAGTCTACCACTTTCAGCTTTTATCGAGACGGATCGGGAACCTATCGAGACCAATTAAGAACACATCAAGATATATCGAGAACCCATCGGACCAATCATCACCAATTGAGACTAATCGAGAACCCATTGAGACCAATCGAGACTAATCAAGAACTCATCAATTCACTTCGTATGCGGTTGTGTATGTAAAATCATAGCGTAACTCCATTTTTTCATCAAGACCAATTGAGAACATATCGATTTTCATTTATTATGTGTTTGTTTTTGTAAAACCATAAGCTACCACTTCCAGCTTTTTGTCGAGATGGATTAGGAAGCCTATAGATACAGATCTGGAACTCATCGAGATCAATCGAGAACCCAATGAAGAATAAGAAAAAAAAAAAAGGTAAGAGTATATAGAGTTAGAACTATAGTATATTGATGATGAAGACTATATATATGCATGATGAAAATTATGGTAAAAATTGATATTCATGATAAATATCATAACCAATATAACTACTAGAAAATGATGAATATCATACTGATGTATGAATATTGAAGAGTTATTGAATACAAGTGAACACACACATATTAGAAGGGTACACGGACAATATAGCAAAATACATCTTGATTTTAATGTTTTTTCATATTCTTTGTCTCAGTCGATGTTATAATGTGGTTTTATATAGTTTTGAGAAAAAGATAATGTTTTCATTTTGGAATAAAATATAAATTGAAGATATCATAAAAAAATATCGATATTAATATCAAATTAACTATTTAAAATTTCTCGTTTTCTTTGTGTTTTTTGGTTTAACAATATAATTTTTTATAAAAATAATAATTAAGTATTTTGTTAGAACTCAATAATTACCCTAACCATATTTTACATTTTTTAAATTTATAGTGAGATGTTAATCATCCATTTAATTATGTTTATCAGCAATTAGTTACACGAATTCAAAGATGAGGCGCTAAAAAGTTGTACTTACGAATAATTTACTTGTAATCTCGAATTTTAAGTAATATGCATCAATAAACAATATTTCATGCATAAAAACAGTTTTTAATAATTTTTATCAAATGTATTATAATATATATTCATGATAAATATCTTATTGATATATGTGAGTAATTATATTTTGTTAGATTAATTTACAGACTTGGGGACACGGAGAGTTAGAGTTCCAAAATTTTGATTTTATATCAAATGTTTCAAAAGTATTACTCTTTTGCTGAACTTTTTATCAAAAGTATTACAAACAGTTTAATGATATTAAACGCATACAAGAGTTTTCTCAAGCCATTTTCATGTTTTTCATTTACAATTACCCGTTCACCTAACTTTGTTGATTGTGTGTGTTATGAGAATTTATATAATTGTATCGAGGGGTTTATTAGATTTATCAATAACCCCAAAAAAGTGATAAATATAGGGCTTGTTCTAATTGACAAAATGCACGTTATTGATTTTATTTGAGTGATTGAAGAATAAGACAATTTGCCCAACAATCATACTACACTCAATTTTTTTAAAAATTGGTGGCTTTTGCACTGCTTTTTCCCTCTAAACTGCGATACAAGAAATTGAAGCACTAAAAATTTTAACAGATGCAACCTATGATTTGGGACAACAGTTCAAGAAATTTTAACAATTCGAGGTTGCATAGGTAGTTCTTCAAAATATCATATAAATAGTTATACACAACTAAGTATAGTTCGAGATGGAAATTTTACCTGTTGGAGCAATCCCAATCCTAACAAGGCAGATATTCCATGTTTGACTGGTACTGGGGAGGGACGGGGATTTGTTTTCAAACCCGAAGCAAGGTCTCAGGGATAGCATTAACCTAAGCGGGGGCAGAATCAATGACCCAAGGTTTGGGAGTCAAGGAACTGGAAGACAGACACGCGATGGCCAAATCAAGGATTTGGGGCTTCTTGCTACGCTACTTCACTATAAAAATCCCCCACCCCTAAATTAATGACGATTCGTTGTGATTTTAATTTTAAAATACATTGTTTTTTACTAAACGGTACTCAACGGGTTCCTGAAACCACCATGGTCATAAGAACAACGTAAAGATCCGTATATTCGAACGTGATACATATACATATACATATACATATATATGCAATATAAGCAGACCACACATACATATATAATACATCACACAGAATACATCCTTTTAACCGTTAGAAAAAGTAAAACAAAAAAAAAAATCATTTTCAATAAAACTACATACATGGGCATATGGCCGGCTCCTTGTATAACCTTAAATGAGATTTTAATTAAATCTATGACATCCCGATGTGTATCAACCCATTTTTCTCGGTAACAAATCCAAATCCAAGAGGTAGAAGAAACGTTTAGAGCCTATTTACTATTATTTTTTACTGGGTAAAGAGGTACCGACCCGCAATCCACAATGTCATTGACCGAGAATTTTGTCCTCGTAAGGATCAAGAGCCTCACTTACTCGGTTAGCGCTTATCCAATTTGTGTTGGTAAACAACTCCATATTTTCTAGATGGAACTTAAGCACCCTAAACCGGGAAATCTTACAGCCCAACCCAGTAGGGTGTAGAGGTTTTTTATAATTTGAAAGCTTACATTCGATCCCGTTGATTCAATTTCTTGACAGAAAGAAGAAAAACCAACAGAGGTCATTAACCCTACTTTGAAGATCAAGGAATAAATCTCTCAATTTGGTTGTTTGCATACTTCTTGTTAAAGCCTGGTGTATGAAAACCTTACATCTACCTGAACTAGTCACCGTTTTGTTTCCATACTCGGGGGAGGGTCGTGACTCGGTCAAAAGATATCAAAACCTATACGGTGTCATTTATACTTATTTAGCCTGCTGCTAGCTGTGATGTTTTAGACATGATATTGTTTGATTGGTTTTGCTTACATTTTCCGTAAGCCCAAAATAAACCAAAGAGGCAAGACCATACGAGCCCATAGGAACCAAACCTATAGGACCAAGGTCAAAGCCCTCAACCCAACCCAGAACCTGACATTTTAAATTTTCATGAGCCAAGCATGTGGGTCATATTCAACCTAGGTTTGTTGGGGGAAATTCAACATGAAGGGAGTCCAAACCAATTCAGTAAGGCTGAAAATAAAGATCCTAACACTTGTCCAAGCAAAATAAGTCACTTGAGTTGTAGGCAACAAAAGGCTCAAGAATGTGTAACAATTATCTCTGGTCAGTCAACATTCTAAAGAGTCGAGTCGAGTCGAGTAGACAACAGTACTAGTCATCACATTGGGTGTCTCATAAAAAGGTGTGGTGAATCATGGTACAATAAAGCTACTGCCCGTACTGATATGAACCTTCTGGGTAGTGGCCTTGCTGAGGCTGAGGCTGAGGGGCATAGGGAGGGTTGGTGCTAGTGCCGGTGGTCGTGTTGGTGTTGTGATATGATGTGTGTGTAGAAGAGTTGATATCGGAGAAGGGACCTTGCTGAGTACCGTAGTTGTCATGGTAGGCGGCCTGAGCAGGAGGCCGGTTTTGTCCAATATATCCTTGGTAGCCCTCAACACCTTGGGAGGCAACGGCGGCAGCGGCGGCAGCACTCAAATGCTGCTGCATCTCACTAACAGCTTCCACAACAGCAGCTGCATATGGATCTTGGACTCTCTGCCTTGTTCCTGGAACCTATATATATACACATATATGTGTTTCACAACAATTCATAAATTTATCACCAATCTCAACTATGCCAGATAGATGTTTATCTGATTCTATTTTGAGCAACCATTGGAGGTGTACAAGCCAGCTTGTGTGTACCTCAAATAATCCCATGTGCTATCGAATAAAATAAGTTTTGATTCTTTACTAAAAACCATTTTTTTGGCGATCATATAACACCATTTTCTGGCAATAAAAAGAGTGACTTCACAGGGTAACCTTGATAGAGAAGATTTTTATGTTGCTGCTCATCACAGAAATAAGAAAGTGGAAAAACCAACTGACCTCGCTAGTGTTGTGAACTCCAGGTCCCATACCAGAAACCTGTCCACCGCTTGGCATTTTCCCGTCCACCGCACCTGGGTATCTGACAAAAAAACATAATGTTGTAACTAATGCATAACCAAAAGAAAAGTAATAAAGAATTCCATATATAGCAATATCAAATGACTAGTATATTGCTATATTACCCTGAGGCACGTGGAGGAACCGGGTAACCATGAGGTTCATATTCCCTTGGAGGGGCAGGATAGCCATGAGGTTCATAGTCCCTCGGAGGAGCTGGAAAGGTACGCTGCTCATGGTCTTTCGGAGGAGCAGGAAAGCCACGAGGGTCATAGTCCCTTGGAGGAGCTGGATAATTAGGTTCATACTCCCATCCACCACCCTTTAAGAATATAGACAATAATTTAGCAACATAAATGAAACAGCTCTCCAGAATCACAATAATTAAAGAAGAAATGATGATATTTTAGGAAAATGAGTATAATTGTTACAGTACTCCTAACCCCACAAGGTTCCGAGACGGAGCTGAACCTGAGTCTACAATAACAAGTACAAGTATACATTTAGCAAGTAAAGGTTATATACAGCATTTAAACCGCTGATTGAGTATAACCTTCGATAATTGGTCAAAGTCCAGCCGTGGAAACTCACCTTAATTTAGGACATTAGTTAAGCTATCAGAAATTTTAGCTGCAGATGTTCCTTACATTTGTGTTTCAATCAAGCTTGTCTAAAAAAACACCACACTTCCTATAATAAATCTTCTAGAAATAGAGAACTTTGATGTCCATATTAGACTAACCTTAAAAGGTTCATAGCCTCCTGAGCGACCACGTCTTATGGCACCAGAAGGGGATGGTCCTTCACCAGGTAAGTTTCCTCGCGGCCCAAATCCTGGACCTGGAGCAGTATCTGGCCCAGGTTTTGCATCTCGAAGAGCTCTTGCTCTGAATCTTGATGCAATCTCAGCCAAGGCATCTTTAGCGACACCGTAGCTCCCAGACACCTACAAAGTTCAGAACTGTTAATAATACTTGGCTTATTTGAGAAAATTGAAGAGAAAGGTACATGATATGATGCTATTGGTATCTCGATTCGTTCTTATAGATCACCTGCACAAGCTCTTCATCTTCACCAGCGCACTTGGGCTTTTCTTCCTTAGAGTACACACGGATGTCTGCTTTGGTTCTTCTCCTCATCTCATTGATTACTTGACCTCCTTGTCCAAGGATGCAACCAACCTTACTAGACGGAATGAGAAGTCTCGTAGTAATAACCCCTTTCTCGTTGTGGTCACTTGTTTTATCTTGAAGAAAAAGTATTGCATCAATTGTTCGTGACCTTGGGTTCCATAGAGCCTGAAATGATTTCAGCACAAAGATTAATTGCTGATTCATTTGCAGTGTTGAATTGACAAGAATGATTCACTCAGATGTAGATGCAACATAATTAGGGTGCATTTGGTACACAAATAGGACTGAACGGGCAAGAGTGAGGTAGGCAGGTGAAAGAATTGTTCAAGGTTTTAGATTTTTTTTTTAATTAACCTGGATATCCAACACGCTATGCGAGCCGACTAATCCCAGGGCGACCATCTGCTTTGCAGATAGCCCAGAGTCACCTCATTTGAACCTCCGAGGCCACAAGGGGATTTGTATTCCCCCTTGGATTTGAACCTGGGACCTCCAGGTACTTTTGACCTTTGGAGCCAAGCTCAAACCAATCAGGCACCACCCTTGTGGTTTAGGGTTTTAATTTAACATGGAGGGTTTAGTAATTTAACAACCCTATTTTTCGTTCCACCTATTTTGGTTGTCCTGTCCCAGTGGGACAAGTTTTTGTCCTATCCTGCCCCCATCTTGTCCCTCGTGCCAAAAACACCCTTAGAGTCGAGATCAAAGGTAACTGACCTCAATGGCAGATACACGAATCACTCGCTCATCCGACTCTACAGATGGATCATCCACATGTATGTTGGTCCCAGTCTCTTGTTGCAATTGCCTTACATTGCAGCCCCCCTTGCCAATCACCCCTCCAATTTTAGCTGCAGAGCAAAGAATTTTCATCGAAAACTCGGCTGGGATCTCCTCACCGTGTGCAGCAGCACGATCACCATCAAAACTATCACGACCGAATCTGGAGGGCTCATTACCATATCCCCCCATCCATGGAATCGGTGGTGCACCACGGGCATTTGAGCGACGCTCGGGCCGCATTAAATTTGGAGGCGGCATATTTTCCATGGGGGGACCAGGACGATATCCTTGGCCCCCAACAGGCATTATGAAACTTGATGGAGGTTTGTCCTTGCGTGGATTCTGATGCAACAATGTAGACACTTCATAGAGAGCTTGTCTTACAACAGATGGTTTGGCTGATATCTGCAAAATACTACAAGTGAGATAGATCCATACACTACAAACATGATAGAACAGATTTCTCCTGATTTATGTGTTATTTGATGGTTCATCAAAGGCTATGCCATGGATGAAATCTTATTCTGATAATCTGATGGCAGTGTCATATTTTCTTGGGCAAGAACAATTTATTTCATCATCTCTTCTACCAAGACAGAGTTTTTCCTTCTTTATAGTACAACAACTATTATATTCAGGCCAAGATACATACCTCTTGTAGACAAGGAAATCATGCTTCAGAAAAGCAAGACATTTTCTAGATGATTTTTGAGAGAAGTAATCCAGTGAAGTAAAACAATTCACTTCATTCAACTCAATAATCCTTCTACTGAGTCATGCCAAGTCACATAAAGATACTGGAAGCATAGTGGGGGAAATCCATGAAGCTTAAGAAAAAACAAAACAGATGCACTGTTTTGCTTTTTGCAACTATTTTAATTAACAAATTTGTCTACTGTTCAATCTTGTGAGGAGTATTTGTGACAATGAAAATGGAACAGAAAGAATACCAAAACCTTTAGCCACTAGTCAATTTAGCACACATGCAGAGTAGCTGTAGATTTGAATTGACATCATGATAATTGCAAAACAAACAATGGTCCCTTATCAGTTGATTCTATATAATCATGTAACAATCTGAATCTAACCCAATCAGATACATATGTACATACCATGACTTCAGAAGTCATATATATGTACATATGCCAACAGAGACACATACATGCAACTACACACACACAGAGCTATATATACACATCCCTACTCACAGTTGGAAAAGCACAAATCGTCAAATTGAACAAATATTTTTGAAAAGAACTCATAATATGATTGGGACAGAGCTTAATAAAACATATGATTCTTTACGCTGTGAACTGAACGTAATTTGTGCTGCTCAGTCCTTGATAAGTTCATATCATATAGTTGAAATGGTAACTTACTACACAAATCACTTCAAAAAATTTATGCATACGATGACACAACCTTCCTCCAATGTGAATCGTAGACCAGTACACTATGAGTCAAGTCTGGAATTTTTGCATTCTCAGGTTGTACCCAAAAGACAACTTGAACAGAATTCACAAAGGAAATATATATATATACACATATAACTCTAATCTGTTGTGTCCAATTGATTAAGTTCTCTAGGCCATAGTACATTTAGCAATTTGAACAAAACTTTACCTGATTCTTATAATTATAAATCATAGCTCAAGCCATCAGTAGTTTTCACAACCGTAAAAAATATAAAAAAAATTAAATGGCAGAAGCACAATTGCATCAAACAATAATGATTAGAAATGTGAGACTGAAACTGAAACAGCCAAAGGACACCATTAAGTAAACAAACATAATTACACTGCTATACTATCACGTAACAGAAGCATACAAAGTATATCTATTTGAGCAAGCCGAAAGGTAACTATTAACGTTTACAAATAGAGTTACCAAGAAAGAGCCTTTCTAACCAACACTACAAGACATAAAAGCTAAGCATGCAATTGTAATATGCTGTATGTACATAAGTACCATGAGATCCATGCTGATAATGCACCATAAAAATTTCTATATGTTGATTGCTAAACACCAGTATATAGAGTGTAAACCAAATATACTCGTCATGTGTCTAGGCAAAAATACAAATACATTATTGGCCAGAGAAGTTAGAGCATTACCTGCACCAACTCATCAGTGCTCATAGCACATGCCGGAAGTTGATCTGCAGGCAGAACACGTATGCTTGCACCAGTCTCACTCCGTAATCTCTGAATGACATCTCCTTTTTTTCCCAAAAGGCACCCAACTGTATTGTTTGGAACAAGCAGACGTGCAATTACCACAATTTCATTACCGTCACCATCCTCAGTTCCACCCACTATGTCTTCCTCAACAATCTTATCATGAACTTTTAAAAGAGCATCTTGGGCTGCACAATGCAGCTCAGTAACATTTTTCTCAGCACCCATGTCTTCATTATCATGATCATCACTGGTATTATTTTTTACTGCCTTCTTTGTAGAAGGACTATATACCATTATTACTCTTTCCTCTGAACCAGGAACTGAATCAGCAACTGTAATCTTAGCTTGGGTCTCCTCTCGCAAGGCTTTGACTATCCCACCACCTTTTCCAATTACACTACCAATTTTTTTAGACTGACATAGTATTCGGTAGACAGTCTCTGAAGCATGAGAGCTTTCTGAAGATGGTTCACTAAACTTCCCTCTTTTATTACCGCCCTTCTTAAAATGGGGGTTTGGGCGTTTCTTGAAGGAGGGCCGCCTATTCCCTTCCATATAGCCACAAAGTCTACAAATGAATCACAAAATTCAAACAAAAACTTTAAGTAACTAACATCAATTTCTTATAAGATAATATGGTAAGTCCGCTACTAGGCGCACAAACCAGATCCTAAGACTGGCTTGCTTGAAATGAAATTTCATAATATAGAACAGATCACAGCTACAATATACAAATGTCCACTCTAAAAGCTGTAAACAATCTATTTTCCCCAAAGTCCCATCAAAATCCTCCCCTCCCCTCCCCTCATTCTTATTAAAAGAGCAACGTTTAAACCAAAAATATTATGATTCTGCAAAGTGACTTGCTATAACTGAATGTAACTTTAACCGGAGTGTAGAGGAATTAATTGGAGTGCCTGAAGTTCTGAACTCATCTTATTCAGATCATGAGTTTCTCAACCTTACTATCACATTTACTGAGGGTGTCCTATTTAGCTTTCCACTAGATTGCAATGAAAGCTCTGCTGCTATTGTGTTACACTTGACTGATCAGATACATATATTTGTCTTGTCAGGGTGCGTTTGGTATGAAGACAGGAAGGGACAAGTCTGGATGGGCGAGAGTGAGATAGGCGGGTAAAAGAATTGTGGATGGTTTTAGGGGTTTAATCTTGTCACATCTACCTAATTTTTATTCCACCTATTTCTGTGGGGAAAAAAATTGCATTTTATCCCACTCAGTTTCTAACCTGTCCTAATATTGTCGCACAAGAAGTTTTTGTTCTACCCTGTCCCGCATATCAATCACACCCTAAAGAACCAAAATAAACCCAGTAAATCCTGTACAGAGATAGGGTCTGCCAGGTATGATATATATAGAGACTGCCTCTCAAGAGGTGGAAAGTTGTTTCCGTGAAGACGCCAGCTTGTAAAGCAAAAAAACATAAAAGAAACAAGCAGGCAAGATTTGCGAGAACGTGTGCAAGGAAGCAAAAAGTACAATAAAAAGAAAATGCACCTGGGACAGGCGTGAAGAAGATAGGTTAAACAAACAAGAAAACACAACGCACAGTACTTACAACTACTGGTACACGAAGAAGAGTTAAGACTAGTGTACAGCAAACAAGTCACGCAAGTAGATTCCACTGTACACAAGAAAGGTAGGAAAAATTAAGATTAGCTACACCTCTCCCTGCCTCACCCTCTGTCTTCTCCAAACTCCCCTCCTCCCGTTCATGCTACAAATCCCGAGCCACAGTCAGCCACCCTAGTCCTGTGTCTTCAAGACTCTTATCAAAACTCATGTACACTCCTTGGAAATGTCTAAAGCCGCCATGTCCATCATAAACTGCTCAAATATAACCTCTATGCCTTCAACTCAATAACAAGAGGCCCTCTAGTATTCAAAGTTTCAAATGAAGACAAGGGAACACCCTCATGAACTTTCAAAGAATAGTTCTCAGCAAGTTTTTTAAATGACATATACTCGTACGATTAAGAGTGAGTACAAACTACGGCTCACATTCAAAACCATATTTCACCTAATATGTCTTCTCTTAAGTAGAATTTCAAGCAAATACAAGGTAGTGCTTGTTGGATTTTGCAAAGGAGAACACTCAAAAATTGTTTTTATCGTGTCATAAACTTATGAGAGAATACTTGATTATGTACACTAAAAATTATTCATGTGAGCTTGACTATCATGACACGGGGGGGTGTAATTCATGGAGGTTTGGATAGAATGAACATTAATAGTGCATAGCCAGAGGCTTTTGATAGATGAGGTTTATTCTGTTATATTATGTTTGGTTTTGGTTTGAAAAAAGTACTTCCAATAAAGGAGAGAGGGAGGAAAGAAGGGAAGGGGAGAGAGAGGGAAGGAGAGATGGAAAGAACAAGAATTGCATGCAGGGGGATTGAGACAAAAGAGGGACAGAAATTGAAGCCAACTAATAATATAGTGAGTGACAAATGCATTAAAAAGGGAAGGGCGTAAAGACAATCTCATTGACAGGTCATGAATACAAATTAATGGGGATGCAGATACCAATAGACCCACAAGGAAAGAAATTCAAGATAGGGAAGGATGGATATGGAAGCGTAACTCAAGAAGAATCCACGTACATGATAACAAATGACAACTCCAGAGTGACAAACGGTGACACGAAAGTATAGGTCAAGAAAAATTAGCAATGGTGGTGTCCCCCTCGCAGGATTCAATCATCATAACAAAAGTAAGACTATGACTGGGGATTGCAAAAATTAAGCTACAAGAATAAGTGTTGTATGTTTTTTTAAAAGGTTCTGAACTCCGAATCTTATTTCAATTCTGATCGTTAAGAGGTAGATGTTGAAATCTGAAAATGAAATCGATAAGATTATTTGATTTTATAAACGTATAAATGTATGAATGTGTAAATGTTTTTTACATAATGGTATTGAATTTATAAAACCAACCATTCATTTTAACCAAAATGACCATCATCCATTTTTAACACATTAAAATCCAATAAAAATACATCAACTGATCCAAACACAATAGAATATATGAACAAAGTCACGTAACAACTAAAATCAATCTTTGTTTTGTATTAATTTTGCCACAACAAAAACATTCATGGCTTCAAATGAAAACTGAAGTTATAAATCAAATATACATGGCTTCAAACAAAAAGGGAAGACAAATGAAAAACAATCCCCATGAGTTATCCAACAAAAATATCATGGCTTGAAACAAAACTGGAAGATAAATCAATCAAACATCCATGGCATCAAACAAAAATGGAAGGCAAATAAATCAAACATCCATTGCTTCAAAGAAAAATGGAAGACAAATAAATAAAGCGTCATTGCTTAAGTTGTGACTTTTTAAGGTTAAAAACTAATAGCCAAAAAGAATCTTGAAAAATATTCAAACATAAACAATATACTCATGGATTGAAGTTGATATAAGTGGCTGGTTTGGAAGCAGATGAAATCGAATGCAGAAGAAGGCCAAAACAATCAAATGAAATCGAACGCAGAATCATACTAAAACAATCGATTCAAAATCGAATGCAAAAGCACACCAAAACAATCATCGGATTAGCAGCGCATACGAAGTTAAATGCAGAAAATTTACAAAATCAAACATATACCTATAGTGCTAAGAACAGTGGTGAACACGAGCGATTGAGTATAGAGGAGCGATTGAGAGCGATTAACAATTGAGGACAAGGACGAGGATACGTGAGCGATAAATATATGTTGGAGCCTGGGAGGAGAGCAATTAGTGTTCCATTTTTCTCTTAGGGAAACAACTCTAAGAGGCTTAATAAGAGGATAGGTTTCCCTCTTGTCCAATAAGAGAACGGTAAGATGTTTTACCCTCTTGTAAAAAAACAGTTTGACGACTCTAACCTTTTATTCGGTCAGACATACATGGTGAGTAAGAGGTTTTTTACAAAAAAACAAACACCATGTAAACCAAATTTGCTAAAAAATAAATTATTAGGAACTAGATCAATGCGAGGTTTCTTAATGAAATACTCTATGAATTAGTTCCTCCCTACTAGCGAATCTCCCATATATCTAAATATTAGATTCCTATATTTCCAACTATTTTTGTATTAAATTCCTCATGTTACAATCTCTCTAAAATATAACATTTTTCTGACTAATAAAATCTTCAGATTACGTCTGGTTTCTTATTATTTCATTACTATTCCCATTTTGTAACCTTTTGCTAAAGAAAGACTATCATCACCCACCTCTCATAATCTTTCAATCCTAAAGCCTCTCGCAGGATTTGATTGTTTCTTTTTAAGAGGTTCTGCAGTATAAAGTCTTATTTCACTTCTGAGTGATAAAAGATGGTGTTGAAGTCTGAAAGCGAAATTACTAAGACTTTTTCTTTTTTGTAAATTGATAAATGTTTGAATGTGTGTAATTGCCTTTTTTTACCCCTCAGAGTATTATGATGCTGAATTTATAAAACTAGCAATTCATTTTAACCAAAAGGTATCATCGTCCATCTTGAACTCATTAAAATTCTATTAAAATGCATCAATTGATTCCAACACAATAGAAGATATGAACAAAGTCTCATTGCAACTAAAATCAATAGTCTATTTGTATTTATTTTGCCGCAAGCCCGCAACAAAAACATTCATGGCTTCAAACGAAAATGAAAGTTATCAATCATGCATTCATGGCTTTAAACAAATATAGAATACAAACGAAAAGCAATCCCCATGAGTTACCCAACAAAAACATTCATGGATGAAACAGAACTGGAAGACAAATTCAATCAAACATCCATGCTTCAAACAAAAATGGAAGACAAATAAATCAAACGTTCATTGCTTTAAGCTGTGATCTTTTCAAGTTTAAAAACTAATAGTTATAAAGAAGCTTGAGAAAGATTCAAACATAAACAATATACTCATGGATTGAAGTAGATGCAAATGACTGGTTTGGGACACAGATGAAATCGAATGCAGAAGCAATTGAAATCGAAGCAAAACGGTCGAATGCAAACGCAAACCAAAACAATTGAAAGAAATCAAATGCAGAAGTAGACCGAATCAATCATCAAAACAGCGGCGCACACGAAGTCGAAAGCAGAAGATGCAGAAAATTTAAAAAATTGAATATACCTGTAGTGCGAAGAACAGTGGCGCACACGAGATCTATGGAGCGATTGAGAGCGATTAGCGATTGAGGACGAGAATACAGAAGCGATTTAGATTTATTGGCGTCGGGGGAAGAGAGCAATTAGGGTTCCATTTTTTCTTTTAGGGAAACAAGAGGACCGTAAGATGTTTTTTTAACCTCTTATAAAAAAAAGTCTGAAAACTTTAAGAGGTTTTTCAGAAAGAAAAAAAAAACAAACACCGTCTGAACCAAAATTTACTAGAAATTAAACGAAATGTTATTAATATTGATGTTATTAAACACTTACTTGGTAAGTGTTTGACGCATAAATTTCATCATTGAATGAACATGAGAATAGTCAAGAATCTTACTATGTAAGAGTGATAAGAATGATGGAGAGTCTTACCCGGTAAGTGAGGATGACGACTCTTACCCAAATAAGCGTTTACCTAGTAAATTGTTGCATTCGATATGCTTTGATATACCAAAATTGTACGCATTTAAATAAATTGTAGTGTTGATTCCTATTGGTAAGCGCTTACCGGATAAGAATTTGAGTAAACGGCCCCTAAATAATCAAGAATTATAATATTCCTTGACAATTTGACATCCATCTTATTAGTAATTACAAAGTCTAAACCACAAGGGTGGTGCCTGATTGTTTGAGCTTGGCTCCAAAGGTCAAAAGTACCAGGAGATCCAAGGTTCAAATCCAAGGAGGAATAAAAATCCCCTTGTGGTCACAGAGGTTCAAATGCGGTGACTCCGGGCTATCTGCAAAGCAGATGATCTCCCTGGGATTAGTCGGCTCGCTTAACGGATTGGATATCCAGGTTAATCAAAAAAAATTAACAAAGTCAATTGGTCATCAGTCAAAATGTACATGAAATAGAAAAAAAATTATAAGTTCTCGATTAATAGGAAAAAAGTTTCCTTACATTGGTGTTATTGAAGGCGGGTTTTGTATAGGGATGGTTGGAGTTGTCAGTAATCAACTTTTAATATATCTATAAGTATCGATTTTGTACTCTAAGTTATCGATTAATGTTATTCAGGGTCGGCCTTGGCCATGTGCAGCCCATGCGGTCGCACAGGGGATCAAAGCCTAAAGGGATATCAAGTTGTCATCTATTACTAGTTTTGGGTGTAATAATTTGAGAATTGGAAAACTGAGCTTTAACTATAAAAACAGGCCCAAGGGGTAGTATTGATGAATACTGAATGCACATCGTGAACAGGTTAACGCAATCATTCCAACAACTCAATCTAGTTTTTATTGTTCTTCAAAGTTCGACTATTTCGATTTAACAATCATGGAGTTCTCTTTCCAGCCGATTAATAGTCATAAAATTAGATTCAAGAAATAAAAAATTTATACTGTTGATTGAACTTACCGAGTTGTTGTATAAGTTATATTATGATTTATGAATCTTTAAATCTTTTTGCAAAAAAAAATCTAAATTTCTAACTGATTATTATAAAATTGGGTCATGCGGTTGTGTGTGTTACTGACCTACTAGACTAAGGCTAAGGGGTTTTTGTCATTTTGATAATGAGTTTTCCTCTTACATATTGAAAGTAACATAGATTATGAACATAGATTACGCATTATGAATTTTACAATTTCCTATTGTTCTTTTGATTTTTATTTACTTTGAGGTTTGGTATCAACGCATTAGATTCAGGGGCTGTTTGATTGATTTTTTATTAAGTTTTATATGGATAACGTTGTATGTATGAATTAATATGTTTGTATAAATTATAAAAGTTTTTGTTTGAGATAGTTTTTTCACATATATAAGGAGCATCTTTTTAGTTGGAAGGGACATGTTTAAAAAAAGTTGGCTTTTTATATAAAACTCCCCCTAGAAGCTTACTGATTAATGAGAATTACAGATTATTTCTCTCTATTTTATTGTTGTTTTATTTCATTTATACTATAAAACGTTATCAGCGCGTATAATCTATGAATATTCTCAAATCTCCCATCAATTAAACCATGTATGTTTTTTGTTCTTTTACATTTTAACTATCAAGACTTAGGGGTTGTTTACCCAAATACTTACCCGATAAGTCCTTATCTATAGGAGTCAACACTATAATTTATTTTGATGAGTAAGATTTTTGTACATCAAAACGTATTGAATGCAACAATTTACCGGGTAAGCGCTTACCTGGGTAAGTCGTAATCTTCACTTACCGGGTAAGACTCTCCATCCTTCCCATCGCTTTTACTCGGTAAATTGTTGCATTCAATACGTTTTATCATAACCCTAATATGTTATCGTTTTCATTTAAAGTATTTACTTATTAGTTATTTGATTGTGTGGCCATACTTTGTTATGAAAAAGAAATCGTTTTTTTTTTTTTTTGCAATAACCATATTCAAATGAATACTATGGGTTTAATTTTTAGAATTGTTTTCTACATTCTTGCAGATAAGATTTACTTTAAATATATAATTATTTACTATAAGAGTACTCGTGTAATGCAACGAGATACATCATTTTATTATTTGTTTCGATCGATGTTATAATACGATTTTATGTGTTTTTAATAAAGCAATAATGATTATATTTTTTTAATAAAATATAAATTTAAAAAAAAAAGATATCAATGTTAATATTAATATTAAATGAACTATTTAAAAGTTCTGATTTTTTATGTAATTTCTTTAATTTATTWTTTTWWTTATAATTTAATTTAAGTTTAATAACGAAATAATTTATTTTTGGTTTAATAATATAACATTTTATAAAGATAATAATTAAGTATTCTGTTATAACTCAATGATTATCCTAATTATATTTTAAATTTTTTATATTAAAAATGATATGTTTATCTTGTATTTGATTATGTTTATCTGCATTTAGTTACACGAATTCAAATATCGAGCTTTAGTAAGTTGTACTTACGCATAATCTGCTTGTAATATTGAGTTTTAAGTAATATGCATTAATAAACAGTACTTTACGCATAAAAAGTGGTTTTTAAGAATTTTTGTCAAATGCTTTATAATATAGTATAGATTATAGATATCAACTATTGTTTTCTAGTCATGTTATTTATATGTATTCATAATGAATAATGCATGTGTTTATGTATTTAGAATATAAAAGGAAATTATGTGGCATTTATTATTTTTATAGCAAATTATATGTAATAAAATATTTAATTGCTATTGTCATATATCAATCTAAATTTGTTCATTTGATTACATTTTGAAACCCTATTATATTTTAATTAATTATGATATAAGCTTTGATAATGATGGACTCACTGCTATTTACTGTTCTGTTAATATATGTTTTGAACCAAAGTTTTGATAATGGTGGACTTCCAACCCCATACATTTGGGTTTTTTTTGTCAAAAGCTCTCAAATTACAATTAAGAAACTAACAGTTTAAATTTGACTTTATGTCAAAACCAACAGTTATTTGGCCTCATAGTAAAATATCTCAAAACACCATTATTATATTGTAGTTGGCTTCATATGTCAAACTCATATTTCTTTTGACCTCGTGTCAAAAGCTCCAAAAATGTCATGATGTTATTAAATTATCCGCATTCGATCTCATCTCTTGGTCTCATGTCAAAGTCATTCATATTATCTATGTATTTTATAAATGATTAATCACAAGATATTGAAAGGATTTTGTCAAATGGATGTAAATAGCCCAGGTTTGTAGGGATTTAAGTAATCCATGTGGTTCCTCAGCTACCTGGAAATCCAATAGATTGAGTGATTTATCTATCAAACTGGAATATTGATGAAGTATTATCAATAAAACGGTAAACATACAAAAATCCAATATTGTTATGATAATGAAATTTCACGTGCGTCATAATTTTTCTTCTTATGAACGAAAAAATTCCATATATTATCCTTTATTTATGTAAATGGTTGCAACAGTTCATCTGAGATTCGATGTCGTAAACTCAAAAGAACTTGAGTACATAGATGAATATCCAATGAAAAGATTATTTTTGTCGAAAAGGTACAATAATATACCTAAAACCATCAAAAATCTATTGACCCTAAAAATCAATTGTTAAGATACAAGTAAATTCCTTGAGATTTTTGAGATTGTGCATCAGTCACAACCTTCATAGGTAATATCATTAACTATAATCTCCCAAGATTGTGGGATGTCCTGAAAGCGAGAATCGAGAATATTCATGGAGATGTACTTTCCAAACTAATTATACAGTGGAATGAAACTCATTTAATCAACTACAAAAAGGTAACTAATTTTCAACAAAGAAATGTTGTCACAAAAAGCGTCTTAATCTTTGTGACAAACAACTCACAAGATGGCATGATGTATAACATTATTTTCATCTTTCATAAGTCGGTAAATATTAACGAATTAATATAAACTGGAGTATAACTTTTAGACAAACTCGTCAATCTACTGCAAGTGGTTGAGAGATATAACATGGTTCATTCGAATAACAACGCTAGACATGTTGGGACCAAGAAAATTCCCAAGGTCAATGATGAAAGTGTTAAAGGTGAAAACAACTCAGAAGGATAGCGAGTTAAAGACAATCTTTTACACGTGACATTTATACACCATATGGACGAGACCGTAGAAAGAATCAGGGTCATGGCAAGAGTCAGAAAGAATATTCCAATCCTCGGAGCAAAGATGCAACTACTGCCCATAAGATAATGGACAATAAAAAAATGTACTAATAATCGCTCATATCAAAAAAGAAAACAAGTTGAAAATTAACTATATCATATTAATCTAAGAAAACAAGTTGAAAATTAACTATATCATATTAACTATAATGATCCATGTCTTGCAAAATACACATCGACACATTTTCTTTCGAGTGAAATACAAAATGAGACAATTAACAAAATTGCAACTGTTGACTTCTATAGCACAAGAAGTAACATACCATCATAATATGTTATCTCGAATACTTACAACTTTTGTAAACCTTGATCCTTAGCTAAGACAAGAATGAGACCATCTTAAAAGCTAAGGATAATACAAAATATTTCATTCTTACAATAAATACAAGATGATATTTATGGGCATAAACATCCAGAATGCGGGCTATTAGATTATTCTATGGTTTTGGTTGACACATCGACACGATGGATGCATGTCGCACTATTGTCCACACGAATGCATTCGCAAAACCTCTAGTATAAATTATACGTTTGAGGGCTCACCGCTCTGATTATCCTATCAAGTCTATACAACTTGATAATGCTAGATAATTTACATCGTAAGTATTCGATGATTATTGCATGTCTATTGGGATCGATGTTGAGCAACTCATACCCCATGTGCATATACAAAATGGTCTTGCATAAGCTACTATCAAAATGATACAAATAATAGCCACTAGCCAAGGCATTGGTTATGCGCACCAATTTACCGACTTCTGCATGAGACTATGCAATATTACATGCAATAGTATTTATTCGTTTTAGACCCACTGCTAGTCAACCATTTTCTGCGTACCAGTTGATAACTGGATATGCGTATGATATTTCACATTTACGCATATTTGGTTGTACATTATACGTGCCAATTACGTCCCCACAACGCACTAAAATGGGACCTCAAAGACGATTAAGTATATATGTTGGATATGAATCCCCAACAACTATCCGTTATTTAGAACCCTTGACTGGTGATCTATTTACTGCAAGATTTGTGGATTGTCACTTTGATGAGACAGTCTTTCCGTCGTTAGGGGGAGATAGGAAAAAAGATTTTCCAAGGGAACGATAGGAATTGTCATGGAATGTTCCTACTTTGTCTTATTTTGATTCCCGCACTTCATAATGTGAAAGTGAAGTGAAACAAATACTAAATCTTCAAATGAATCAGACTCGATAGCTGATACTTTTAATGTTATTCAAGGAGTGACATAATCACATATACCAAATGCGAATATACCCGCAAGGTTAAAAGTCCACAAACGCCGCTGGAAAGTGCGTTGCAATCACACTTGGTGGAGGTGTGGTTGAGGCCATGACTCCCAAAAGGAAATAGGGGAAGTTACTTGGTTCGATAGATACTCATCTAAAGGAAAATAAGAGTAAGACACAACCATTTATCATTAATACATAAACCTATCATGATATTGTCTTTGATTAACTACTATGTCTACAAATCATTAGTGGAGGACGCTCCGAAGCTAATATTGCTTCCAGAGATCAAATAAATCTCAAATGAATTATGAGTACATATGAGTCGATGGACAGATCATACATACTCATTGATGATATATCATATATGTTGTGGCTTATAAGATGATAGAGCATGATGACATTGAATCATGATCAGTTGAAAAATGTCTACGAAAAGCAAATGTGACCTAAATGAAAAGAAACAATACAGGAATATTATACTACTTGACAAATGAACGGGTATTTGGTCTAGTAGTGCTAACCCACTAAGTATAAAGCCTGCAGAACATAGATAAATAATTTGTTAGAAAGCGTAATGAGAATAATTAAGTGATAATGTATAAGGATCTCCACCTACACACACATATTATATATATATATATATATATATAGAGAGAGAGAGAGAGAGAGATAAAAAGACCCATTCTTTTGTTAACCAAAGAAATTGTACAAAACTTTATTAACCAGAACATTTTTGTTTTTTCTCTATTGATACCACATTTCTTAAATATCTCAATCACTTAATTATTATATTTCTTATTAATTTCTCATTCATTTCATTGAAATTTTTGCTTTCACCAATGAACTTGTTTAAAACCTCATTAATTATTTCATTTACTTTCTGGTTTTATCTGTAAATTTGATAATTTTTTTTTGAAATAATCAAAGTTCATATACAAAACAACATTATGAACTTTAGACAAAAATAATTATTTTTCACCTATGAACACTACAAAAATCATTATTTCACTTACGAACTTTCTGATTTCACATATGAACATTAAACAAAAATCATGATTTCACCTCAAAACTTTCTGGTTTCACCAATGAACTTTGATTATCTGATTTCAACCATGACCTTTAAACAAAAATCATTATTTCACTTTAAGATTTCATTTTTAAACAAAAATCAGTTATATATTATTATCGATTATCTCCCAAAAATAAAAACAATTTATTCTAAAAATGTGTTCCATTTAATACCATTTAATTTAATAGGGAAAGTGTCCACATAAACCTTTCAAAGACATTATTAGACCATCATGCAATTATTCACCCAAAGAAGTGAATAAATGGAAAAAACATCTTTATAAGTAATCGAGACAATTGCTAGGAAAGTAAGTACCGGGTAAGCGCTTATCAAGTAACATTACCTCACCGGATGAATATGGTAAGGACCAAGAGTCTTACCCGGTAAGTGAGAACGACGACTCTTACCACGGTAAACGCTTACCATGTAAATTGTTGCATACAATGTCATTTTGGTAGACTAAATCTTACTCGGTAAGTAAATAATAGTGTTAAATTTTACCGGTAAGCACTTACCGAATAACTATTTGGTAAATGGCCCCTAAGCCCAGAAGATCAGGCCTGCGGGCTTATACATTACAAGGAGCTGTCAAGATGAAGTCGATGCTATCGAGGATCCATAAACGCAAAAGTTCCCATTAAACCGTACTTCGTTTCTAGAAACATGGGCACTTTTAGGAAGCATATACGGTGATCTTTACGATATATCTAACCGTATAAGCCTTTAGTATCGATGTGGTAGAATGCCACATCCATCATTTTCCTTTTCTCTTTCTTATTCACGAGATATTATACAAACCAAACCAAACCAAACAAACCCAGTATACATCTCCGCCCAAAATTCCAAAATATCATTCACAGATAAATTGCAAGCTTAGATAACTCAACATATACCGAAATCTAAGACCACCTAAATCTTCTAGCAATCAAATCCTGAATTTGCACAAATCAAAAGCTTTATCTTGTTCTGAATTGCATTATTTTTTAAATAAGAAAGGACTAGACCTTTTGGATGTAGGCAGACATTACCTCTGTGTTAGTTTATATTATGATATGCAATACTCATCAATGACATAAGCAACGGCTAAAAACGAAACCTGGAAGACTCGAATCAGTTCTTGGCCCTGGTAGAGTTGTTTTCTTTGATCCTTGATCGGTTATCAAGCTTCACAAAGCGTTTCAGATCTTCGTAAGGCAAAGTTTCTATATTTTTCCTTCTAAGCTCACTCAGCGCTGGTTTTTTGTCAAGGAGGTGAAACAGCCACTCGGGATATTCTGAATCAGCCAGTATTTTAGGATCTGTACCTTCTTTAAGGATATTGGCCCCGACAACTGTGGTGGACTTCACTTCTTTGCTTAGCGAAGATTGTTTTGGAGCATCAGCAGCTCCTCCACCTTTGCCTTTCTTCGATTTACCTCCAACGGCAAATGTTCTACAATTTCCTAACCCACCCTTAAACGCACCAAGGTTTCTCAATAATTTGACGCAGTTCATCGCCATGCCAGTTTCCTAAAAGATTGAAAAAGTATATAAATTGTGAAACATTTGGCAAAAACTCCTAAAAAGAACTTATTAAGCATCAAGTAGCGTTTATTAATGCAAATATTTCAAATTCAAGGTTACAAGCTATTATAGCCTACATTGGACTTCTTAAAACTAACTCATAACCAAACCTCTAAACTCTATAGATTTAACTTTTTTAATATAAAGCATCTTAAATATAATTACATATTTATAATTAAACAAATTATATAAAAAAACAAGTATTTTCTTCTCTTTCAATTTGATACCCACATCAATATATATATATATATATATGTATATATATATATGTGTGTATATATATATGTGTATATATATATGTGTGTATATATATATATGTGTATATATATATGTGTGTATATATATATATGTGTATATATATATATATATATATGTATAGGGGCAGGTTCAAATGAGAAGCTAGAACATTTTGCGAGAAGGTGAGAGTTTCAATATCATATATGATTACACGCACGATATACAAGGTTAATCATATATAATTAAACACATGTTGCATTGACAACATGTAGACCCTTAATCATATATGATTAACCACACGCAAAGGAGTGTGATCTTATATGATAGTGAAACTTCTTGCCTTCTCGCATGATCCTTCCCCTCTCTCTCTCTACACACACACACACACACACACACACACACATATATATATATATATATATATATATATACTTTTTTGAGTTTTTTCAAATTTAACCCAGTTTTCAAAATTTCAGTCATATTCATACTAATATCTATTACATATTATGAAGCACTTACAACTTAATAACTGCATACACAACTTTTAGAACTCTGTGTTTCCACAAAACTAACTATCAAACACAAAATAAACATTGAACCCTCTCACTCTCACAAAACCACACAAAACCATAAAATAAAATTGAGATGGACAGAGATTAGAATGTAACACGAATCATGAATTGAGCATTCGAGCTCTCAGCTTTGGAAAGAAGATGCATTGCACAAATATGCTTCTAGTACATCTTAAATTCTATTCAAAATCGATGCGGCTAATAAAGATCGATGCACCATATAACCTATTTCTTTATCTCTTTTTGGGTGTGGAAGAATGATTAGAAAGCTTCCCCTCCCTCTAACCTTTGCAAAGCTGCAGGGGGGTTTGGCCATAGACTCGGACTAATATGAGAACATGTGAAGAAATATTGGCAATTTGTGATGCAACCAGTCATGGACAAACTAAAAGTTTCAGTTTCACCTAATAATACTCATGCAACAGATGGAAGGACAGCAAACATCCAAATTCTGTTGATCTGTTTGGTTTGCCAATTGAAAGGAATTCAATTCCACCAGTAGGAAATGTTAATAATAACTCTTTGATTGATACTCAATAAGTGGTATCTATTGGTCTAACCCTCTAAAAAGTTGATAGAGTGCAACTGAATCTCCATTCTCGTGTAAGGGGTTGTTTACGTCTTTGTGAACATCTTACCAGTAAGAGGCTCTTACCCAGGTAAGAGATGGAAGAAAGTGACATTTCTCTTTCTTTCTTTCTTTATTTCTTTTGCCACCCTTTTTATGTGCACCAGGCTATAAAAGATGATTCAACAGAAATAACAAATGCTTTGTGCATTAATATAATAGATTTAACTAATTCTTAGAGGAATGCAAATAGATATTCAAGTGTCTTTTCTAGGGTGCTTCTAGTTGTCAAGCCTGTTTCTCTAAGAAAGATTATCATGGCTACTTTTAGAATGAATCAGTTTTCAGTTACAGGCTGACATACATAGATGCATAAAAAGGAACATGTTTAGACGGCTTATAAACATGTGCATTTTGCTTCTAATCCATCCTTATGTCATCATCTAATAACCCACCACGAGTTTTTAGCAACTCACACCAAGGTGTTGTTTGTTTCTTAAAAGGTATTGAAATCAGAAGTCTTGTTACACTTCTGATTGATAAGAAGTGCTGCTACAATCTGAAAGCAAAATCAATAAGATTGTTTGTTTTTGTTAACCAATAAACGTCTAGTGCGAAGAACAGTGATGCACACGAGCGATTGAGTATAGAGGAGCAATTGTAAGCAATTAACGATTGAGGACAAGGACGAGGATACAGGAGCGATTAATATATGTTGGCGCCAGGGAGGATATGATTTGGTAAGGTAATATGATTTGGTAAGTGCTTACTTGGGTAAGCGTTTGGTAAACTCCCCCTTACTCTCTTGTGCAAAAACAGTTTCACAGCTTTTAACCTTTTATTCAGTCAGACATACATAGTAAGAGGTTTTTTACAAAAAAACAAACACCATGTAAACCAAATTTGCTAAAAAATAAATTATTAGGAACTAGATCAAATGCGAGGTTTCCTAATGAAATACTCCATGAATTAGTTCCTCCCTACTAACAAATATCCCATATATCTAAATATTAGATTCCTATATTTCCAACTATTTTTGTATTAAATTCCTCATGTACAATCTCTCTAAAATATAACATTTTTCCGACCAATAAAATCTTCAGATTATGTCTGGTTTCCTATTATCTCATTACTATTCCCATCTGTAACCTTTTTGCTAAGAAAAGACTATCATCACCCACCTCTCATATTCTTTCAATCCTACCGCCTCTTGCAGGATTCGATTGTTTCTTTTTAAGAGGTTCTGCACTATGAAGTCTTATTTCACTTCTGATTGTTCTGAAAGCGAAATTACTATAACTTTTTCTTTCTTTTTGTAAATTGATAAATGTTTGAATGTGTGTAATTGCCTTTTTTTACCTCTCAGAGTATTATGATGCTGAATTTATAAAACTAGTAATTAATTTTAACCAAAACGTATCATCGTCCATTTTGAACACATTGAAATTCAATTAAAATGCATCAATTGATTCCAACACAATAGACAATATGAACAAAGTCTCGTTGCAGCTAAAATCAGTCGTTGTTTTGCATTTATTTTGCCGAATCCCGCAACAAAAACATTCATGGCTTCAAACGAAAGTGAAAGTTATAAATCATGCATTCATGACTCCAAACAAAAAAGGAAGACAAATGAAAACCAATCCCCATGAGTTACCCAACAAAAATATTCATGCTTGAAACAGAACGGGAAGACAAATGAATCAAACATCCATCGCTTCAAACAAAAATGGAAGACAAATATATCAAACGTTCATTGCTTTAAGTTGTGATCTTTCTAAGGTTAAAAACTAATGGCTATAAGGAATCTTGAGAAAGATTCAAACATAAACAATATACTCATGGACTGGCTTGGACACAGATGAAATCGAATGCAGAAGAAAACGAAATGAAACAAAACAGTTGAATGAAAACGCAAACCAAACAATTGAAAGAAATCAAATGCAGAAGTAGACCGAATCAATCATCAAAACAGCGGTGCACACAAAGTCGAAAGCAGAAGATGCAGAAAATTTAAGAAATTGAATATACCTGTAGTTCGAATAACAGTGGGACACACGAGATCTGTGGAGCGATGAGAGCGATTACCGATTAAGGGCGAGAATACAGAAGTAATTGAGATTTATTGGCGTCGGAGGGGGGGGGGGGTATTAGGGTTCCATTTTCTCTTTTAGGTACACAGACTAGAGGGAGTAATTGTCTGTCACATTTTTTGTACGTTTTGGACAGGACAAAACTGTTAAAATGACTATATTACCCCTAAATGTTGTAGGGTTTTGGGGGGGGGGTGTGGAGCCATTAGGGTTCCATTTTCTTTTTTAGGTACACAGACTAGAGGGATTAATTGTCTGTCACATGTTTGGTACGATTAGGACAGGACAAGACAAAACTGTTAAAATAACTATATTACCCCTAAATGCTGTAGGGTTTACCATTAGGGCATGTTTATGTTTATCTGATCATTTCAGACATATCTATTAACTAAAAATTGAGTTGCATTAGAACCAAATGCAACTTATGACAGAAATGTTGTACCAGGAAATGAATACAGGAAGCTTATGCTTATGCTTCGTCTACCCAAACTGAGTTGCATTAGAACCAAATTTATCTTACATTTCATTATAACAAAAACATAATAATACCAAGAAATTTGTGTTATTAAGCCATTTGGTGAAGAAACAATTGCAGAGGAGGCGATAAACAGAAACAAAGCAAAATCGTGCGCAGCAAAAAAACGAGAGGGAGAAATCGAGAAATCAAACCGATTGCAGAGGAGGCGATGGAGGCCGGTGGAAAAAGCCGATGTGGAAGAGGCGATGTGGAGGAGGATGTGAAGAGGTTGTGGAAGAGACGATGACGAAAGGACGATGATGGAAGAGACGATGTGAAGAGGGGCTGTGCTAATTAGGTTTTCCAATTTGAAACAAGGGTAACACAAGTGGACGGTAACATGTTTTTACCCTCTTATAAAAAAAAGTCTAAATGAAATGTGATGGAATTAGAACGTATCAACGGAGTGTTTGGTTAATGGAATTTGAAAAAAAATTGAAATAAAATATGATATAATTTGATCATGTGTTTGGTTGGTAAGAATTGGAATGAAATATTTGAAAAGAATTAGAAAAATCGTCTTTGTTTGGACCCTCGCCCACACTCTACCAATTAGTCTGTCACTACTGTCGTCATAACTGTCACCCGCCCTCACCCTTATCCAAACCCTGTTGCACCACTCAACCCCGTCCTCACCACCCCTGCCCCACCCCTACTCCATAGGTGAGGGTTGTTGGGGGCAGACAGGGTGGGGGTGATTTGGAGTGGGGAAATGGGTAGCAGGGTCCTTTTCTCAAAATATGTTTATTAGTAGTTTAATGAAACTCACAATTTATTTAATTAGCTGTATTTGATTGTTTGTTAGTGACTTAATAATATAGAAATTGACTTATTCAATAACATTTTAGATAAAACTTTATGCAACAAATCATATTCTTTTCAAACATGTCTCTTCCAATCAAAAAATATGTTTCCTTCTATATGTGGAAAGCTCAAAGCAAAACATTCTCAATTTATACAGACAAACTAATCCACACGGATATCTTTATCCATACAAGGACTTAATGAAAAATTAACCAAACAACCCATTATTATATAACTGAGATTATACGACTAATAATCACATATTTTTTAAAAAACCAGAAACTGTATATATTAAAATTTGTGTCAGCGATGCTTTTGTAACGATTAAACGAAGCGAACCTAAATCAAATTGACCCAACTCAAAAATAAGGATTTGAAATTGATGATAAAATATACGATGACCTTACCTCTCTAGAATCTAGTTTATCAACTAATAACAAAAAATGGAATCATAGTTAAATATTTATTGAAATAAAAGGAGGGAAAAAAACGTTGTTTTTATTATTATTTCAGTTATCTTAAATTATGCGTCTATTTTTAAGAAGTAAATGCATAATTACAATTTTACCTTTAACTATAACGTAAACACATTATTATTCTCTTTATTATGGGTAAAATTATCATTTAAGCATTGTTTGACAAACATAAGCTAACTTATTTTTTCCGGTACATGTTTAGATAGAGATAAACTAGCTTATTCTTTAGGTACACAGTACACTAGTTGAAGTAGTTTATGAGGAACTTTTTATCATTTTTTTTCAAGTATAACTCTCATTAATATTTATTAATATTAACTATAAATAAATATTAAATAAAAATTAATTGTTACTAATGTTAATAAATAGTAATTGAAAATTATTAATTAATTATTAGTATTCTTTTAAGAGTTATTAACAAAATTTGTTCATCATCTAACAAGTAACTTATCAACCATCAACTAGTTTTTACCAAACATGACCTTAATTGATTAAAAAATATATAAAAATTACATATTTATAAAATTACGTGTCTTTTATATTATTATAGGATGAAGGATTAACCATGTAGAATCCATTAACTTGTAGAGCTACCAACATATTATAGGTTTGGTCGTTGCAACCTTCGCAATGCATGAAAACATTAAACACACTCGTTAATCGTTATGCGTTCAAGTACGCTCTTTGCTCCAGCCTCAATCTCGGTCCTAATCAAGTTTGGTTTCTGATTCGAACCCGTTTTGGCTAATCACTCAACTCAGCTAGCTTTACTCATCTAAATTCGTATTCTTCTCGTCACATCGTAAATGATGCTCAATAGAGCGATCCATAAGAAAACGTGTAATTAGTAAAAGAGCAATACCTGAGACCAAAACCGAGAGCCGATAAGATCAACCACTACATCATCCAAGATCGAAAGCCCTTGCAACAATTGAAAACTGACGTTAAACGGTACAACAGAATACCAAGCATTCCCTGCTCCTTTCGATCCAAAAACAAGTATTATAAAAAGTACAGTGTAATTAAAAAATAACATACAAGTGATTTTTTTGACCTTCTGCTGTTACCAAAAAATGAAAAAAAATCAAAGGCATTCGAACTTGCAACCTATAATGCTACATGAAATGACCCTGCCAATAGACTGCAACCACTTTTTGTTAACTGCACATCAAATTAAAGCGGTGAAACAGGCGCCCCTCCCCTTCTTAAATCCGCCCCTGGTTGAACTTAAAAATATCAAAGCTGCTTCTTTTGAATTCCGATTGGTGACTGCTGATTCGACAAGATCCACTGCTTTCGATTTGAGTAGACGGCAACCAAAACAAATTGAGAGAAGCAAAGAAGCATGATGATGGCTTCAAAGAGAAAAGGGTATTTCTTAGGAGGGTTTATGGTTAGGTAAATGATGTGGAGAGCAAGAGATAAGAGAAGAACAAAAGCAATCAGAAATGATGTCAAACGAGATGAAGAACGAGTATTTGGTGCGTCGGGTTTTCCATTGGGGGCATAGTAAACGGAGATGAAGATACCATAAAGAGCGATGTATGGAAGAACCAATTTGTCACGTGTTAAGAGTGGGAACATAGAGAGCAAGGCGAACTGTGTTAGCCACTGAAAAAGGAACGGTTCTTCTACGGCTAAAATGGTTGCTGGCAAGAGCGGCAATAGAATAGATTTCTCGTGTACTGTAATTTTCAAAATAAATCACAAAGATCATATTTCAGGCAAGTATAAAGAATACTGTTAGCAAGCGAACATAAACATGTAATACATATGGGGTAAGTAGCATTTTTTGTATTATGTACACATAACATACGACTATCGGGTTCCAAATTTGGTAATGGTTATGTTATCCACGTTTGATATATATATATATATATATGTGTGTGTGTGTGTGTGTACATATATATATATATGAATTTGTATTCAGCTCCAAAGTTGGAGATTGTTGTATTTGATTCAACTAAAAAACTGATTATATTCAAATGACTATACAGGAATTAGTATGCAAGGATAACATGGTATGTATATACATAATATAAATATTAATCATGTATATATAATATGATAAATATCATATGATAATATCCAACATACCCTATGCATCTAATTAGTTATATGAACTACTAATGTAAATACAAGTTATCCGAACAAAACTAACCTGGTAAATCGCACTCGTGCACAAGGCCATCCCAGAAATTTTGGGGCCCAAATCTACCTGTGCTTAGGGTGTAAACTATAGCCGAAATTGTTTAGGTTCAAATTATTAATTGTTTGGTTTAAGGTTCAAATTATCAATGGTTTAGGCTCAGTTTCAAATTGTTAATCGTTTAGGTTTAGCCTGTAACATCTCATGCCAACCGTACAAGATATTGTCCGCTTTGTCCGCACACTTAGACTCACGGTTTTAAAGCGCGTTTGATAGAGGAGGTATCAAGTCCCTTACAAGGCAACTTTTTCCCTCCGCAACCAATGTGGGATCTTAAAATCCACCCCCTTGGGAGCCTAGAGTCCTCGGTGGCACACCAGTCTGGCTCTGATACCATCTGTAACATCTTAAGTCAACCGTACCAGATGTTGTCCATTTTGTCCTACACCTAAGCTTACGGTTTTAAAACGCGCCTGATAGAGGAGGTATCAAGTCTTTTATAAGGCAACCTTTGTTTCCCTGCCCAACCAATGTGGGATCTTACAAAGCCCATTTTTGTTCTTAACATATATTCTCTGTTATCTCAGTTATGCAATGTAATCAAAAAAATTGGATGTAGCAGGGCCTACAAAAAGATTGGAACATCTCTGCTTGTGGAAAAGTTGTCTATATAATGTAAATAGAATTTATCGACACAATGAGTTATCTCATTTTTTGCTAAATAAATTACCAACGAACCCATAATAATCTCACTCGAATTTTGCTAAATATGCTGACTTTTTATTTTTGTTCAAAGATATGATTGCTGTTTTTAATACGGTGAATTTTTTAGCTTTATAACTAGAAGTTTGTCTTTATGTTGATTTTCTTTATTTAAATGAAATCGAGTTACATATGACTAATCAAATTCAAGGATACCACATTTTGGTATCCATTTTGAATTCAGATGCCTACGTTGGGGCCGTGACGTGGTGTGGAAAGTCCTCTTCCTTAACCATAATTCATCGTGTGGGATATCTCTAGTACTAATTTTTTTTATGTAAATATGTATGTGTATATATATATATATATATATGCATACATACATATGCAAAAAATAATTACATAATAAAATAAAGCCTGAATGATGAAAAGGGAAAGAAAACGCTTGACATACCTTGAAATGAAAACAAATAGAATGAGAAAGCACTATTAAGCAGTCCATAGAGGAAAGCTCGGTTACTTGGAGCCCGTATCTGCAGAAACATGGAAGGCAGACATGAAGAAACAGTCATGGTAAGACTTAAGAGTTTCAGTGATTGTGTGGTGAATAATCGCTTCCACTTTATGAGGACTGAAGTTGTGCACCAAAAGTTAGCCACATAGTCCTCGTATATTCCCCTCTCAAAAGGGGCTAGGCGGGATAGAACCTGCAAGGAGCATCTCAATATCAAATAACCAATATGGGAATTTTAGCCTCATCAAAGTATGCAATAGATATCAGAGAGTCATTAGTCCAGTACCCAGGTTAACGGTAGAGCCAACCTCCCAGGAGGTCAAGGGTACAAACCTCACCAAAGGTGGAGTGTGTGTGAGTATTTGCTGTATATAAATACTATATACTTCAAAAAAAAGTACGCAATACAGTTGAAGCATAATGATCATACATTTGTATCCCATAATGGGTCCCACAAGCAGAGGGCAACATAACAATTAAATAATGAAGGATTGATCTCCTAAAGTGGATAGAAATTCACAGCTCCCATATGAACTAGGAGGCTGGTAAGTAAAATACTCCCACCGTCCCAAAATAAGTCCCCACATTTCTATTTTAGCTTGTCCCAATATAAGCAGCCACTTTCAAAAGTAGGTGCCTACTTTCCAATCTTACCCTTAATTATGAGATGGAAAAATTCATTGTTCACTTTCAAAGTAAGTTTCCAATTTCCCATTTTACCCTCAATTATGAGATGGAGAAAGCTTCTCTCTCTATTATCAAGGGTAAAGGTGTCATTTAGTTATTTAAAAAAGGTGTAATAATTGCACATTCCTAGAACCGTTTGCCATTTTCATTGTGGATATCTATTTTGGACGGAGGGAGTACTAAAACTGTATGCCTTTTTCAGTGTGGACATTTATTTTGGGCTGGAGGGAGTAATGAATATATAGTACAAGGTTTTGTAAAAATTCAAACAGGGTAAATTCATTAGAAGCATAATTAAGAATGTCAAAATGTGGACTCACAGAAGTTCATCACAAGTTATTATGCATGTTAAATACCATATTGGAACGGAAGGAGCCATAACAAGAATAGCAATTCAGAATGAACAGACAAGCAGAGTATTAGACATTGCTTATACCTCCAAAATTGCAACTCTGGAGTGAAGATATGGCCACCAAACAAGAGCAAATGTTCCTACAACAACCATGCCCAACTTTGATACCTCGAAAAGTGGATTTTGACGCTTTAAGCATTTGCCCAATAGATGGCTGAAAAATGCAGGCACGAAATAAGCACTCATCTGCACAAAAGATACAACATCCACTATAAATGATGAGCTGGTATAAGCCATATGACAAGTATTTTTCCTTTGAGAGGGGGTTATTAGGATGTAGTGAGAACAAAAGCATAATCTACAGCGGATCAGAACTATAACCCCATCACAAACTAGAAAGCAACTGACCAACAGCCACGACTCACAAAGGATATGAAATATATTAGTTTAAAAGGAAGAAGCCCAGTTAGAAAGCAAAAATGGATTAGGGACATTGAGCATTTTATTTGAATTTGCAAGCCTGCAATAGATTGACGAGTAACCTTTTATAACACTATCAAAGGCTGTGCTTGCTCTTCTATATCTTCTACTTCTGTCCTAACATCAGTTGAGATAGAAAGCTTCTGCACATTTCTGCAAGAATGCCTCATTATAATTCGCAAATCAACCTCACTATGTTGAACCCTTCAACAAAATCATGCTCATTGATTCACTCCACCTTTTAGACAATCATTTGTAAAATAATATATCCACACTGCCAACATATAGTTTACATGCTCATCCATTCCCTTTATAGTTTGACAAGGCTGTTGCCCCTCCAATCTTATAGAGATACAGCAACCTTTCATCCAGATCCTCCCTTCTTCGTGCTGCTTTGCCTCTTAGGAGGCTTGACCTTGTACACAATCACTTTAAAAAATCCAGTTCAATTTATAAGAATGTACACAAGGATTAACGAAGTCCTCACAGACTGATTGTATTGTTGGCACCTCCCCAAAATCTGGGATTAAGATGATAAAAAAATCATATAACAAGCCCTATTGGTCTGGATTCACTAGCACATTTTAACACAAACGTATCAAAACACGGTATGGTTATACTGATATGACTCATATGAGATGAAAAGCACCTGCTTGTGATTGAGAGCAAGACTGAACAAGAATGAAGCCACGAGATCTTTGTCATGAAGTATAGCCGAAACAGCTCCAAGGGTAAGTCCTAAGCTTATGCAGTTGTACTGCAATTCAAATAAAATTATTTGATAAAAAGAGGCATCAGTTTAGAACGTAAAATGAGCATATAACTTCACTAAACAATGGCAGTAACAGAAATGATTTGTACATGCCTGAAAATGACCATGATCAATAAGGATGAGGCATGGGTTAAGTAAAATCATTGCAACATGCCACGCTAAGTTACTTTTATGCCGTCTCCATTGGTCTGCATAGACTAGAATTAACCATAGAACTGCAGGAAAGAATATGAGGACATCAGAGGTTAAAACTGTCCACCTCATTAGCAGTTTTCTGCAGGAAGAAGATACAGGAGAAGTTGGAAACTTGTGGGCAATGATTCAGTTAGATATCAATACATAATAACATGGTTATGCTTCCTTGAAGTGTCAATGAAGCATAACTATGTCAATGCTAACACATTGAAATGCTTGTAAATTTCAACTGTGTTAGTTATGCTTCCTTGGCACCAATCGATGGTGTAAAGTCAATGAAACATAACTAGACTGAGTGAAAACTACAAAAATTTATCAAGAACGAAAAATAACCCACCCAATATATGACTCATGGCCTCGTGAAGTATAAAGTGAAACCGACTCTGGATGGAAGAATCTCAGCACAAGACCATGAATATAACTCTGATAGGCAGTAAGCGGTGGGTAGTCAAGTCCCCAGTAACTAAGATCATTAGTAGTGCTGTTGTGATACCATTCATTGACCGGAAGATTGGTTGTGATCTCCATCCAATGTCTCTGTGCTTCAAAATCTCCATACTTGGGTGGATCACCCGCTCCAGAATACGGATGCAAGGATACAGCAACTCGAACAAGAATTGCAAATAGACTAATGCAAATGAATGGAGCCGAAATACCCTTGTGGATCAACCATCCCCAAGCACTATTGTCATTAACATCTCCTTTCACTGCCTTTGTTACCCTTGACTTTTCCATCTCTTTATCTCCAACTCTTATGCAATAGTGAATTTTCTTAGAAGAACCTGCTTCAAGACTGAACCCCATCACAACATCAAAAGCATGGCAATGATTTTCCAATCCATTATTCCAAAGATACAGAGAGGGAATCCCCAAATATCATGTGAAATCTAGTGCTTGGCATACGCCATATCAGTCATAGAGTTGATGTTGTAGAATAGTCTTAAAGCAATGAAGATGGAATGCAATGTAAGCAGACAATAGACTCTAACTTGCTGTCCACAAATCTACTCCGAAAACTAAAAGAACGTATTGTTTGTCATGTTTGGTTTGTGATGTCTATAGTTGCCAGAACCGTCAAAAAAAGATGTATTATATTAAAATACAATCAGTTCAAATGGCTCTTTCCACCCCTAACAAGTCCATATGAACTACTTTTGAGAAAGGCTACGTTTCTGATCATAATACAATATTGATAAACATTAAATGCTTCATGCTGCCAAAGATACAAACATACGTACAGTTAACTCGGTTTTTGTACTGAGGTTTATATTAGTATTTAAAAGTGTCTTATGTGGCGTTAGAACTACTTTAGCTTATATCACTTCCATCTACACGTAGTGACCGCAGGGTTCTTACAAATTCAACAATTTTCTTAGCACGATGTTTTGCAATTCAAAATCTTTCTACTAAACCGCAAGATGACAAACTCTGAATAGAAGAGAGAGCATATTTAGCTTAACTATCGCTAATTCTCACATTTTCTTCCTGCATTGTTGAATTCAAACTAAAAACAAAGAACAAAACAGTCCTTACCAACAAATAAATTCATCACCGCAAATAGTACATACCCTAAAAGCAGGTCCAAATATTAAAACATCTAACACACACAAAGAGCTACAGTATCTCACCAAAATGTGAAATCACGAGTAGTTGCACTTTGTACTTGAAAACTAGATCTGAACACACAAAACAATCTACAGATCACGAGTGATAAAGAAACACAATATATGTATGATCTATGTATCATGCTAACACCAAAAAATCAAGATGAGATACCTGTTAAGAATGCATGAGTGGTAAACGCAACCTTAACCTCCGGAAGTAGAAGCAAGGCGCAGATGAATAGAGAGGCAAGAAGGGCTTCGGAGGTGGAGAGGAGATATGAAATCCAGACCGGAGACGGAAGAAGCTGACGGCGATCGCCTTAGGGTTTCCGAAATTATCAATTTTACTCCGATTAGTAAATTCAATCAAGTATCAAAGGTTTCAAAATAACCACCAATGTTTGTAATAATTATGCGTGGTACACTCAAGTTTTTCTTTTTCTCACTCAGCCACAAAAAGTTTTCCAGAGGTTCAGAATTCAGAACCATATTTTGGTGGAGTGATTTAAAAGTATATTAAAAATTATATTCTTTAAAAAATATTATTTGTTATTACATATTTTTTCTTTTCAATATTGTTGTATTTGTTGTTATCATATGATATCATTATGTTTACAATTGGATCATATAAATTCGAATAAATTTTCTATATTTTGTGATTACAAGATATGATAATTGTTTTTTCGAATTTAAACTCTATTGACAATAACTATTTATACGTGATTGATCATTATGTTAATTTTTGACTACAAAAAAAATCCTACTGACTGAAATTCCTTTGGTGTGGGATGAAAAAGATAAGAGTCGAAGAAAACTTGGAAGATTTTAAATAAATATGGCCACTCTTTCAAATATGTCAAAAGGTGATTTCTTTTTTAAAGTAATGCATTATGATATATGTTATTATGTATATGTGTTCATAGTTTTACAAGAAATCTTTGTTCATTAAGTGTTACATGTAAGGGGCTGTTTGCTTACCTGGTAAGTGTTTACCTATAGGAGTCAACATTATAATTTTACCTTGATGTGTAAGATTTTAATACATCAAAACATATCGAATGCAACAATTTACCGGGTAAGCACTTACCTGGGTAAAAGTCGTCATCTTCACTTACCGGGTAAGACTCTACATCCTTCTCATCGCTCTTACCCAGTAAGATTCTTGTCCCTTGTCATGTTCATCCGATGAAGAAATTTATCCGGTAAGCAATTACCAAGCAAGCATTTAGTAAACGGCCCCTAAGGTTTCAAAATATATGAATGTGTCGGTATATAGTATGGATCAACAAGAGATCTGTTATGAGGGGTATAAAGGTTGCTACAAATCCTTTGACGAACAAATCAAATATAATGTCTCCACCGAAATATATACATTTCTAACATATTTCATAATCATATCGATTAAATAAACTCAAAACCAATTTTTAAAAACTAAATTGAAGATAATGATTATCCGTGCACTCAAATATATCATTGTTAAAAATGCGTATGAACTTGCATAATCAATGTAAACAAAATCTGTATTTTTCCTAAACTAAAATTTGATCATCGATAACGCAGAGTACTAACACACCAGTTGTTATAAAAATGAATTTGCTTTTTTTTTCACTCATAAATTGGTGAATATTTTAAAATGCATATTTTCATTGAATTTCATATTTTAATGAGTATAATTTCATATTTTGAAAATGCGTATTTAAGAGTATAATATGAAAATACTCGTTTTTTATACAATTTGTCCAACTTGATATTGGCAAAACATATACAGTTTGGTTTTTCTTTCTACAAAATTTTAGGATATGTTTGTTAGCAGCTTAATAAGACTTGCAACTTGTTCGTTCAACAATATGACTGTTTGGTAGTTACTTGATGAAACAAAAAGTGGCTTATTTAGGGGCCGTTTACTCAAATCCTTACCCGGTAAGCACTTATCTATAAGAGTCAACACCATAATTTATTTTTCTTGATAAGATTGTAGTGTATTAAAATGATATAGTATGCAACAATTAACCTAGTAAGCGCTTATCCGGGTCGTCACTCTCACTTACTGGGTAAGACTCTCAATCCTTTCACCACTCTTACCGGGTAAAACTCTCCTATCCTTTTACCGCTCTAACTGGGTAAGATTCTAAACCCTTACCATGTTCATCCGGTAAAGAAAATTATTTGGTAAGCACTTACTACATAAGCGTTTAGTAAACGGTCGCCGTTTATCTAAATGTTTACCCGGTAAGCACTTACTGTTAGAAGTAACACTATAATTTATTTTACTGGGTAAGATTTGTAGTACATTAAAATGGTAGCATATACAACAATTTACCCGGTAAGCACTTACGTGGGTAAGGGTCATCACTCTCACTTACCAACTAAGACTCTTCATCTTTATTATTACACTTACCGGGTAAGATTTTTAACTCTTATCATGTTCATCAGATAAGGAAAATTATTCGGTAAGCGCTTACCAGATAAACGTTTAGTAAACAGCCCTAGATGCTGCTGTCGAAATCCGTTGGATTACTTCTATGATTACGATTAGATGTGGTCTTATTCCATTTACTGTTCATATGAAATCATTCTATTCCAGACATAATAAATAAAAAGCTAGTGACACAACATTTCCAATACCCATAAAAGCAAAAGCTGCAAGTCAAGAAAAACATCAAAATCCACACTTATAAAAGCTAACCTCAAATGATACTTCTAATCATATGTGAATAAATACACCTATTGCAACAAGATCTCCTGTTCACTTCTGGTCTAATATCTCTCAACTCATTTTACTTTTAAACGAGTCCAACTCAGTGACTCGGTATGGGTCCAACTCATGCCCTAAATTGTCTTTCAATACATAAAAATAGAACAAGGTTGGCCCACAAGAAGCAATGTAACACCAGATCCACGTTCGCACTGGATTTCCGGTTTAACTGGCGGTTGGCGGTGTCTGGTGGCAGGGTTACTTGACGGCAGTTTCCGGCATCGTCTTTCTTTCGTCATGTTATATCGAGGTTCTATCTTCAGCCTTGTCAAGGCGGGGATCACCAGAGAGATTCTCGTCTTGTTCACGTCCATCTTTCTCGGATGCATTACTATGAGTCAAGCATTTTTCTTCATTACCAGATTGAGAAGCAGATGACAATTTCAGGCTCTCCAGATCTGTATCGGTTTGCTCTTTACTTCTTTGGCTTAACATACCTCCATCAGTTTCCTCTTGATCTCCATGTTCCAGTTTATCATCTCCAGTAGATCGGTCGGAATCATCACCCTGATGATTTTCAATACTCTCTGCGGGAATTTCCTTGCGTTCTTCACCTTCATTCTCGCCAACATTATCTTGGAAATCATACATTTGAAGTTTGCCAGCTTCTGTGAATGTAGTTTCCTCTTCCCCTTCTTCATTTTCACTCTTGCTTTTAATGATGGAAATTGTGTTCTCTTTGTCTTCTGAACTTAAATCTTCGGTAGATTTAGGTTCGTTGGTTGAGGAGGCCGCCGGAAAAGACTGGAAATTATCCCAATCGTCTTCCTCATCCTCATCCTCATCCTCTTCCTCTTCCTGTTCGTCGTTAGAACGGTCATCATCATTTGTGGGGGCTGATGGAGGTGAAATTTGGGGTCGGGTTTCTTCTGTTTGTGATGGCATCTTGATCACCAATGGTGGCATCGAGGATTTAGTCGGGATCGAAATCTGACCTTGTGTTACGGAAGCACGGATTATATCCTGATTGTGTACAAAAATTGGTTGTCAGGATGGAATTACCAAAGCAGTCAGGCCATTTTTGGTAGCTTATTTTATGAGCTTATTGAAAAAGCCCTCCTTGGTTAGGCATCGAAATAAGCTAGCTGATAAACTAGATTTTCAATAAGCTACTTCAAATAGGAGCTTTTTTTCAATTATGCCCCTTATATTTTTACAATTAATTTTTCAACATGTCTTTTTAGGTCACATTACATTGTCAGCTAGCTTATCAGCAGTTTGCCAAACATAGCCTTTACACTAAAACCATGATCTTAAAAAGCCTAGTCACAAAGAGCAGACAGAATGGGACGGAAAATTTGTTGTGATAAATACAGTACACAAAAAGAATCACCTGAAGTTTCTGCCTCCGGGTAAAAGGCATCGATAATAACGCATCCTTGAAATAGACTGCAGACGTTTGACTTTGAGCAAGTTGAGAAACAAGCCTTATGGATGCAGTTCTCAATTCTTTGACATCCTGTCATTAAAAATGCGTCGAGGATCAGTGAAACAAAAAGCTGAAAACTTAAGGCAACAAAGAGGAAGACAAAATCAATTACTCCCTCCTTCCCAAAATAAATGTCCACGATAGAAAAAGCGCACAATTTGGAAATGGGTAATTATTACACTTTTTAAATAACTAAATGGCAATTGTACCCTTAAATAATAGAGAGAGTAATGAATTTCTGCATCTCCTAACTAAGGGTAAAATTGGAAAATAGGTACTTTTGAAAGTGGTCACTTATTTCGAGCCAAACAAAAATAAAGAAGTGGACATTTATTTTGGGACAAAGTATATGGGTTAGAAAGTTCGATAATGACAATTGATATCACCTGAGAGAAATCATTCTCTGAAGCTAATAAAACCATGACAATTGCTTCAAGAAGCAGGCTCATTAGACTTCTCTGAGATTCCGCAGCTTTAGAGGTTGTATGCAAAAGCATCAAGATCTTCAAACAATCTCCAGCAACGGTCACTGCTTCCCGTTTAACGGGTTTCTGTCATAAATAACAATAGCATGTCCTTCAGAATGATGAAAATTAGACCGTTCGCAAATGTGAAGGGACTTTCGACCTAAATAATACCTTCAATGCTAGCTTGATGATCCCAAAAATATCATTAAGAAGCTCCCCGATAAAGAATACTAGGAATGTGTTGCTTTCAGCATTGGAGTCCCGTATTGCACCTGTTAGTGTCTGCAAGCCAATTGACTGAACCTGCACACATTGAATCAAAATATCAAATAAAAATCAAACAAACGCAGTATATCCCTCTTGATCAAAGGGTCATTGGCCAGCGGTAACCAGGGTTACCAATAGAGCCTAGCCTCCCAAGAGGTCAAGGGTTCAAGCCTCACCAAAGGTGAGGAGTGTGTATAAGTATTTGCCATATATAATATGTATACTTAAAAGAAGTAGGGAGGGGGGGCTGTATGAATCGGTGATTTGACAGCAAAAGCAATAAAAAATGCAATATATAATATTATCTCCAAAGCAGGGTTTCTCTGAATTTAAAAGTTATCACTTAGTAAGTTTCCAGGCTCAATCCAATTAAGTCCATCATTGAGTTTGGAACCCTGAACAGACTACAAGTGATAACAGACTTGTCATCCACCCTAGGGCTTTAAACGAACCGAACGTTCAGCGAACCGTTCGGCGGGAAGTTCGTTTATGTTCATTTATTTAATAAATAAATGAATATGAACAAATTTTTTTGTTCGTTTAGTTAAACGAACGAACATGAACAAGAGTCTCATTCGTTCATTTATGCTCGTGAACGTTTGTTCATTTACCGTTCGTTTATATATTAAATTTAATATATAGTCTTTTGTTTATTTACTTTGAATTCAAATAATATTTATTTATGTTCGTTTAGCCCGTTCGTTTAGCATGTTAACGAACGAACATAAACGAACACGAACACACCTTATTTCTAAACGAACGAACACGAACACAAAGATTTTCGTTCGTTTACCGTTCGTGTTTGTTCGTTTGTCAGGTTAAGTTAAACGAACGAACATGAACAAACCTCCGTTTGTGTTTGTTCGGTTCGTTTACAGCCCTATTCCACCCTAAAGGGTAGAGCGGTTGTTTCAATGAATCGGTATCAGATATTTGTGATTTTAAATACAAGGACCAGTAGCGAGTGTTGCAGGTTTTTACCTGTATGTATCGATCATTAAGAACCTCATGGAAAGAATTTCTGCAATGGCATAGCATGCCATAAAATATGGGTTTACTCTCTTCATTCTCACTAATAAGTTCGATTTCATAAGTTAATTTAGCAAATGTAATAATTTGCTCAAGAGAGAAAGCAAGCTTCTTTTGTGGCAGTTTAGATGAGTTTGTCATCTTATCCTCCAACAAATGGATGCTTTTGATACAGTCGTTGGTTAGATTGACATTCACATTCAGGCAAGCTCCACTTATTGTCCTCAAATAGCAAAGAGCGTCTTCATCCACTGTAGATTTTTCTGCCAGAAAATACTAAAGTCAACTATCTACTTTTGTCATTCATAGATAAAATGATACACTGTAGTAAATTACTCCGCCCGTCCCAAAATAAGTATCCATATTTCTACTTTGGTTTGTCACAAAATAAGTGTCTACTTTCCAATTCTACCCTTAATTATGAGATGGGAAATTCAGTACTCCCTCTATTTATTAAGGGTAAATTGTCAAGTGTAATAATTATAAATTTTATAAAGCTATGTGCCTTTTTATTGTGGACATTTATTTTGGAATGGAGAGAGTATCAAAATTGTATACTTTCATGCCTTGAGAACCTGTTTTACGTAATTATTAACATAGTAAAGCTTCAAAAGATGGTTGTGGATATCACCCAAGTACATTTCACTAAACTTGAGAGCCCCTTGATACTTTTGAAAGAAAAATGGGTACGTAAGAGTTTCGGAAAAAATGAAAACCGATTTGAGCTTATATTGAAGTTTGGAACACATTTTTTTAGATATCTGGGATGCAAACCCACCTATGCATTCTGAAATAATGGTGGGAGAAACAGAATGCTTAAGACTCACCATTAACATGCTTTTTCAGCATGATGACCTGAGATTGAACATGGTCAACAGGTTTCGACAAGCATACTTCATTTGATGCTTCTCCAATGCACTTATATCCAATAATGAGAAATGCTAATGCTAATTGTAGTTGCTTCTGCACAGACAAAGAGAAGAATACACTTCAATCGACCACAGACAATAAATAACATGAATGAAAATATGCAGTACAATTACGGAAATCTTACAAGAGAAAATTTTATATTTAAAACCTAAAGCAAATAACATGAGTTACCTTGGGTTCTAGCCGCATCAAAAGATTTGTTGCTGCAGTAAGAGACTCGGATATTTTATCCTCCCAGTTTGAGTGACTGGATGGTGTTACATCGGCACTAACACAAAGCAATTACATGAAAAGAAAGGTGATCTTCGGTTAAAAATTCGATTACATAAATAGTCTTGAAATAGGCACAGGCCCAAGAGATCATTTTTTGAGTTACCTTTGTAAGAACTTGAAAATGAAGGACAAACAAAGTTCAGCTGCCTGATATGCAAAATCTTCAGTTTCGAGAAATTCTTTAGGGCAGTTGTGAACAATCTGTAGAAGAAGCACCATGGAAGAAACTTTCACTCCAGTACAAGTATGCAGCTGACTTAACAAATTTGAAATTACTAATCCAAGGCATTTCAATTTTTTTTATAAAAGTAAAGCTAAAGATCTGAATTCCAAGCAGCAAAAATAGAACAGAAGATAAGAACTAATATGAAATAACACTCATGATGGATGTCCTTATGCAGGCAGAGTAAAGACGGGATGCTAAAGCAAGTAATAAGAATAAGATTTTGCACATGCATCATGTGGCAACCATATCACCGTTCAAAAAGGCATGAAATCTGACACAAATACTAGAGATTGGAGCTTTTGCTGATATTTACCTGTGATAGAACTGAGATCGCATGACTATCCAATATATCCTCCATAAAGATGTAGTATGAAAAAACCTACATCCATGAAGTTTAACATTGATCAGAAGTGTATGGGAGGGTGGTAAATACTGGTATTGGGAAGTCAATGGGGAGTAATAAACAAAGATCACTAAGAATGTCAATGGACAACAATGTTCAAAGAGTACCATAAGGCACATATTTAATAAATGTGTAATTATTACACGTTTTAATTAACTAAATGCCATATCACCCCTTTATAATAGAGGGAGTAATGAATTTCTCCGTCTCATAATTAAGGTAGAATTGGAAAATAGGCACTTATTTTTGAAAATGGACCGTTACTTTGGAACAAATTAAAATAGAAATGTGGACACTTATTCTGGGAGGAGGGAGTATTTGACAGCATGGAGTCACTCTTGATGTAGATGAAAATAAAATTCAGTACTTATCCTTGGTAACCGGTTGACATGTTTCCCCTTGAGAATCCCTATTGAGGTTTATGGGCATATATTCCATGTATATGTTATTAGGAATTTGAATGATTCAACATGGACCTTACAAGTGCCTCATTCTTCATCTTGGATGTGACACAAGTTTCCGAAACCAACAATTGCAAAAACATAAAACTGTGTCAACTATACCTAAGTTGAAGACTGCGTCTCATGGCTTGTTACAAATGCACGAACTCAAACAACTGATGGCATCAATACTAGACAAACAGATGACAGAAGACTGCATAAAGCTATATATAACAAAACAAAATTACCTGCAGCAGTTCGCGACACAGATCGATAGTAAGAAATCCTGTCGCAAAGAACTTTTCTGCAGAAAGAAACCCAAATACTGGTAAAATAATTTCGTAGAATTTCATGGCTATTGACTGTCTGTCGGCAACTGCGGAGTCACTGCCAAAGTTGGATGTTACATAATCCAGTGGGATAATGGTTTTATCAGGAGTAGCATATTGTCCCTGGAAGAGAACAAGTAAAGAGAAGCTCCACAGAAACTGATAGTCTTGCTGTTTCAGTTCCACCATATCGTATCCAGAGAAAAAGGCACTTTTGGATGTATTTTCTGCTGTTCTGGGAGATTCATTCACATCCCCATCCCCATCCACTGGAACTGCATCAAGGGAAACTGCTTGCAAGATAAACGGCCAAGACTCTTCTAAACATTGCTTCAACTTTTTAGAAACCAGCGGGGATTGAATTCCTTCAAGAAACGGTTTCCACTGTAGGAAGAAAACATGTCTATAAGATCCCATCCACAGAGAAACATTATGCTTCCAAGCATGATGTTCGTGCAGTTGATTCAAAAACCAAAAAGTATATAAACTTATTTAGCTTACATTTATATGAGGGCGTGTGCGGAAGCAGACATAACTGTAATCCTTCAGCAGAGAGAGCCAGTACTTGCCCAAGGTATTTGAATTTTTTGAGAATAACGGTAATAGTGCTAGAAACTCCTCTGGGATGCTGTGCTGTCTCCTCAAGAATGCATATGTGTAACATTTTAGAGAGGCATGGGCAGTTAGAAGTCGTATCTTGATCTAGAAAAAGAAGAAAGAATTAGTACAAGTTTCATCTGGAACATCTATACAAGGAAAGAATATTGAAAGACTAGAGTCTGGAACTAAACAAGAAAGCATATTGCAGAAACAAGAACAAGAAAAGATATTGCAGAAACAAATTCCCTCTGGAAAGATAAATGTAATTGGATGAAAAGATCTACCTTACATGAAACCCATTCAGCAAATGATGGATAATAAAGGTCTTTAAAATCCTCAAGGGGTTGTGAAATCAGTGCAAATATCCGTTTAACTGCCAATTGATCACCACTGATCATACCGCTTGTCAATATCTGAAAAAAGTATCTATCATTTACCATGAACACCCCTTATCATATAATGCAATAGAATAATGTCTGTGTCTTGAACCTTAGAAGCCAGCTGTAGGCCTGCTTCCAATAGAATAGGTCCAGAGGATGTGTCCAGTGCTGTACGAACAGCAGAAACAAGTTGCGCCTGAAATTTTAAGTGACGTTTGGCTTTATTGGCGTAGAAAATTATCGACCACGGCATGACATTAAAAGCAAACGGCAACGGATTTAAACATTTAAAATTTTAACTGTATTCATCCCTGTACCTGGTTCTGTTCCAACAATAGATGTCCAGGAAGCTCAGGGTCTGGTACCTTGCCGAACTGCAAATCATATATAATAGAAGTTTTTAAAGCCAAGTAGTTATTAATTTGAGAATTTTATGTGTGAAACTAAGTGATGCAGGGATGACATAAAAAGCATAGCCACAGAGAACTAGATGAAATGTCTTCAACAATAGTATATCATAGGTCACGTGACAATCCTGACGCTTGAGAGGTGGGCCACAGGTCAGAAAGACTTCAAGCAAAGCATGAGCTCATGGACTCTACTTTCCTTATCCCCCTTCAGGACTTTCCAGATCCAAAAAACAAAAACATGGGACAAGTTCTATTTTTACTGAACTTGTAACACTTGCTAAAGCCTTCATCCCTTGCTTCTAGTCTTATATGTCATTTAAAAGACGATGATATCTAACATTTACATCAGGGAAGGATGAAGATCCTAGTCCTAGCAGATTATGCGAGAGGGACGCTGAAATATGTCTTTAATTGTTACTTCACCCCTTTTTGTAAAATATTTACCCCATAAGGAAGCAGACATACGTACAAATATAAGAAGAAACAAAGAAATGGTTCTTCTGTGTTATGTCATTAAAGAAATACAAAGGTCTGCATTACCAGAAAATTTATTTAGGTCACAGATAAATACCTTGTCCAGAATAGTACTTAGGAGTCCCACACCAATCGGCCGCATGTTTTCAAATTGAATTGTGCTTATCTATGAGTAACATTAAAACATTAATATCGGCAACAGGTGGTACGAATGCATCCACATGATATTGTATAAACTGGTTATATTCATCACCTGATAAGCAAGAGATATCAACTCTTGAACCTGGAGGACCAACCAGTCACCAGATACCAGCTGTTTGGCTGGCTGGCTTCTCGCCAATGATAGGTCAAAGTGAGCCGTATTTTGTCCAACAGCATCTGGTACATGACTCAAGCACCTGATTTCAAATTGATACTTAGTTTGAACCAATCCTAAATCAAAGTCCAAACAGTAGATCCAACAATGATGCAGATGCCCAAGTTCCAAGATAAGAAAAAGGGAAGCACACTTACTACCCTCCCAGTAGAATAAATGCAATATGTAGGCAACACCATCTCAATTTCATATGAGTTCAGAATATATCTGTTGTTACATCAATGTTTTAAGGAGTCACAACTCAGGTTGTAAAATGCAAGCTAAAGTATTCTTAAGTGGTTATCTAATTATCTCCTTTTCCAAAAGAAGTGGTTATCTAATTATTTTATGAGTTATGACAGCATCTATATATATTGACTTCATTCGGGAAAAAGATAACTTGTAACCTGTACTAAGGAGAATGATATATTGTAACCAAGTACCTCTAGAGATGCTAAAAGTAACATAATTTGCGAAAAGCATATTTATAGAATCCATCAAGGGTGACCAAAATTGTCCCAACGACTAAAAATGATACCATAATGAAACAGAAATTCAACCAAAGAAATACCAGTCATGTGGGTGTTTAAATTATGCCAAGTGTCAATTAGAAGGATTTTTGGGAGAGTAATTAAGAAGATAATAGCATTACTCGAATCCAAAAAAAAATGCATGACAACATTCAATAATTCAAAGAGGGGAAATCTTGTTTTCATGTACTGTATCGTACATTAGTATTTTAAAGCAAGCATACATCATACAAGAAAATACAATAAATAATATATTTTCAATTGAAAGTTGAATGATGAGCATTAACAAGCCAATATGTTTCCAAAGGAAATGCTAAGTAATTGCCCTATTTTCTTGAATTAAATGAAGTTATTTCAAAGCATATGGGATATATAAGCTATTCCATTTCCACAGCCCCATCTTATTCAATTCTTGGTGGTCCTTATCATCTCTATTCAAAGATAAATATAGTCTATCATTCAATATCTATTAGTAATTTCAATCAAGAATCCACAGATAATCTTCCTCTAATGCTATTTTTTTCTTTTTCTTTAATTAGGATAATTGCACATGGAATTTGTAGGTGCAAAACTGCAGTCGTCCAGTAACATAAATATAGAAATCCCGCACCAAAACCATGTGGTATATCACATGATGTGGATAGCGAAAAAGAGGCCACATACAATGCACATAAATGTTCAAGCCTAAAGAGAGGTGCTATGCGATGATAAATTCAGAAATAATACCTAAATTGAGCCTATCAACACATAGATTCAAAATGTTTTGTATTAAATGTTGTCGCTTGACTATAACTGTGACTAGTTATCTACAAAAAGCTAGGACAATTGACTGATTACAATGGTTGACCAAGATGACAAGTATCCTAAAGTGAGATCACATAGTGAACATGGGACCTTACACATATGACAAGTAAAAGCATTTTAATGAACAAAAGATGCATGAGAAAGAAACCAAACAGGAAGCATAAACATGTTTAACACTTGTTAATTAGCATAGGTAAGAGCAGGGTGACGTACTCTGCAGCAAATACTCTTGTTCGATATCTGAGGTGCTTGTCTCTGGCAGAATTGACGCCAGGTGATCCTTGAGAGCTAGAAACCATGTTCTCGTCATCTTCTCCGTAAGATGTGTCCCCATCAGGACCACTAATAGGATCATCATCCGATTCCTTGTTGGTTCTGGTATTTCCACTTGATGTAGCAAGAACCTAGATGAATATTTCAACATTTAAGTTGTCAAGAAAATTTTGGCCTTTGGCCATACTCCCTATTGCCACTATGCTTTACAAAAGAAAAACCAGAAAAAAGAAAAAAGTGCACAGTGCATAATGAAAATGATGCAAACTAAATCCTTAGTTTTTTACTTTTGTTAGATGTCTATATTATCCTTAGGTTTGTTGTATACATTATAAGAAAAAAGGACTACAGTCCCAATATGGGAACAAGTAACCAAGCCAAACCAAGTGTACCTGGTATATCCCACTTGGAAGTAGGGTATGGGCAGGGTAGGATGTAGGCAGTCCATTCCTCTAGCCCTAGGAATAAAGGGGATGTTTCCGTGATAACCCCCGGCTTGTGATGAAGTTTTGGGAAGATATAGGAGAAGTGTATACAAATCTAAGAGTGTGTCCTTATGCAAAGTGAATACAAAGAGCACGGTTCTAATGGCATGAGTCTGAATTTTAGGTTGCAACAAGAAAAAGTTCAGGTAAGATTTAATGCGGAGATCAACTGCAGCAGCTCTGTATGTTACCCAAGTTGCGACTCTACCTACAACCCCATTATGATTTTCAGATCTAAAACAACAAATATGAAGAGAGAGAGAGAGAGAGAGAGAGAATACCAAGTTACGGCATATCGATAGCCACCTAGATGGAAATGATGGGCATGATGCATAGAGCAGCCGTATAATTGTAGTTTGCACCAAACTCCCAATCCTAAGGAAACAAGAAGAAATCTTTATGTAGGAGGCACTAAAAAAGAAATATACAGCACATCTGCAGAAAGATTGGAATGCTAGTATGTCTAAAGAAATCTTGAGGACTGTCTATAGATACTTCAGTTGGAAGGCTCAACAGGGGTTTATTTAAGGAACATCATAGAACATATTTGATTACCAAACTAAAAGAATGCCGCCCCAGTGGAGTTGAACATTTGCTACAATGATATGGAGCAGTAAATCAAACAAACTAGTAATAAAATAAGTTAACAAACAAGTAAATGGTCTATATTCGAGAGATAGGCCAACTCTCCTAGATATCAGTCTACTTCCGAAAGGTAGACAAACTCTCCTGATTCACTTAGTTACTCTAACATTAGTAATCAAAATAAGCTTGCCCAGACCATTTCCCAACCCCTCTATTTATAAACTATTTTATCTAAATACCAAAACTACCCTTCACTAACTAATTTAGGTCTAACAACTATTAACTATATGGAATGTTACCTATCTCACATACTTGAAACAGAAACACGGGAAGAAGGCATAAGAAAGTATAGTGTTATAACAGATGGACACATGAGCAGATAGCAAAATATCAAATTTAAAAAGACTGAAGTAATCTGGTATGCAGCTGCCAATGTCTCCATTATAGCCCATGCCAGTGTCTTCTCAATTATCATATACAGCCAGTCAGGTTCACCACTAAGGTCCAGACAGTAGCAATAATGCCATGGGGATGCCAAAGCTGATGTTGAGTGGTCAAAAATAAAATCATAGAGTTAATGGAATCAAAAGAGGAAGGGGTGATGCTTGCCTTGTCAGACTCCAAAAATGCTGAAATTTAATTCATCTTTAGTCATGGCATTTTTTGGACAAAATCCGATAAAGATGATTCAAGCTTTATAATGATGGTCATGCTATTGGTAATGTGTGCATTACATATGGCTTTTCTTAGGGGACTATGATGGTTCTGTAATTTTTGCTTTTTTGGAGTATTGTGGTGTTGGCTCCAAAAATATAGGGAAAGTTAAGCCATTCTTATTGTTATTAGAATAGCTAAAATGAAGTTTTTATAGTTCCCCTTTGAGAGTGATTCTCTTCTCTCTGTCAACTCTCTCAAAGATACTTGAAATCCTCCACGGAAATACAAATCTATGTATGGAAAATCCAAAATATTTTCAAGAGCCACTGAGAATTTTCACATCTGTAGACAAAGCAATAAACATAGCTGTCGATGCTCAAGTTGCTGAAGGATGCAAACACAAAGAAATGAGAACTCACATCAAATCTCGACACCTCCCAGATCATACCAGAGTAATCATCAACGAAGATGAGAAATAGAATACCTTTCAGAACTCCTTGATTAAGTAGTTCTAAATTGATGTTATCCATAACATTTTCTCTATTTGCAAGTGGCTGCTGTCATTTTTTACCCTTTTTTTCTTTTTCTCTTTTTGACAAGGTTGTCTAACATGCCTTGTATTGTATACATTGGCTTCTATTGTTATTGAAATTCAGGGTTATGCTATACAATGCCCTAATAACTTCTGTTTTTATAATTCCCTTATTGGATAATAACACCCAAGGGCTAGTATCTTAAAGCGGTCCACACCATTACTGTATCATTGTTCCTCAAACACTTGATGATGCAAATCAATACAAACAGAACATCTAAAGCAAATAAACCAGAGTTTTACAATGATAAACAGGTCCAACGAGAAAGAAAAAGTCCATACAGTAATGTGATCCATAGATCCATTTATCCATTAAACCTGCTAATGAACTAAAAGGACATGTAGGAATGAGAGGATGCATACTCCGTATCAGTTTCCTCATCTAGCATGTGGAACAAGTTCTCTTCTATTTGTTCATCAATAATGGAATCCTGCAAGCAGCCCCATTAATAACAGACATGATCAGCAAATGAGAACAATTTAATGATTCTAAATTTAGGCGGTAATAAAAATAAGTGAAGATCCCTAACGAGAAGCTGCATGCTCACATTTAGAACTAGTACTGAAACAGTAGATAAGGAACCACCCATTACAATCAAATCAAGGAGGGGAATTGCTTCTTTCAGCGAAAATCCGCATAGCTTCATTCTCGGAACTTTTACGTGGCCATGTAAGATATGCTTATCATAATTTAGTAATTTTATTGTGAAAAACCGATGATTATGCAAACAAGCTTGCATATAAAAAAAAGACAGGTGACTGATGTAAACACTGTAGATGAGCAACTATATAACACCATAGATTGAGAAGCAAGCTCAATGGGATCTTTTCACATAAGGGTGGAGAAGAAAAAGGATAGCATGAAAGTGTTACTTACTGGGTCCTTCTCAATGAGATGTCGTAGAGTGGACACAGCAAGATGTCTCAAAGTTGGCTGTTGCAAAGGAGAAATTGTTTCAGGACCAAAAAAGCATATTAAAGAAGTACTTCAACGGGCAACAGCAATAATTACCTGTCTTGACGGAAGAGTTGAGAGGAGAACTTTCACATGAGAATGAACTGTAACAGCTTGGGGAGCAAAGAGTACAAGTTGTTGGGTAAAGCGAACACTCCTGCCAAGTTGACAAAATAATACACCAATAAAAGGTCTAGAACCCAGTAGACAAAATAATACGCCAATAAAAGGGGGAAAAACTAGAAACCATTACAACTAGTAGATCAAGTACACACTGGAAACCGGTAAGAATAAGTTATTGTGTACAATCACATTTCTAAACAATACACCTGCTATTAAAAAGTAAAGTTCCTTACTCAAGAAGTGTTGCTGTTTCTTGCTGAGAGCTTATCTCCGCAATGACAGACTGTACAAATCAAACAATTAACTGCTGCACATAACATCAGGAATATATATTTTCTGGACCATACTATTGAATTAAAGCAAAAGCAATACCACATGAGTGATGATTGTAGTTTCAAAGAGATGAAAAACTATGAAAAACAACCTTGCAACGGGAAAAGAATATACTTCCGGGGTGAAGTTCAGGACCAAGAACAGCAACTATAGCATTTATGAGGCGACCTACTCCTTGTTGAAGCATCACCCATCCATTCTCCTCGGACAAAAGGATATCCATTGCAAGGCCGAGTGTTGCCTGCAAAGATATAACAATAAATGAAAAAATTTGGTCCATTATAGAGAAACCAGGAATCCAAGCAGTTGTTCTGCAATACCACTACATATAGCTAGAAACACGGTAGAAGCTCCAAGTCCGAATCTCCAATCACAAGACTAAACTAGAAAAATTGAAGAATATGCAGATAGATTAAATATAAACTTAACATAATGATGTAGCAAAATGGGTAAGTAGTCATTAGGAGCCACACTGTTGTATGTTTTCTATCCCTCACATCAACCACAACAGCTTGTTGATTAAGGAAGCAAAATCCAGACAAATGTTGAGCAATATATATAGTGAAGTCCATGTCCCATATTAGATGGAATGTTTAAAATAAGGAGCAGCCCACATTTTCCATCTGGTGGTGCAATTTAAATGAATAGTTTCTAAACAGCAAAGCCAAAGGGAAGCTTTCACCGGTAATTTTTCCTTTAGAAACATTTTTTGCCTTCTATACAGCAAGACTAAAGGGGAAAAATATCATTTGTTTAGGCATTTAAAAGCTCTTACTTATTTTTATATTAGAGAGAACAGTGAAAATAAGCAAAATCATAGAAGGACAGGTACCTGAACTTGTGATACATATGACAAGCCAGCAGCTTCTATGGTTAGAAGAAGTCCATGCAAAGACCATACTTGTAAGCTAGCTATTGAACTCTTAGCTAATGAAGAGATAGAGTTCACAGTAGACGGTACTAAACTTGATAATGCCATTCCTCCTGCGCTGCAGAGAACACGACAATGATGAAATCTTTTGCTTCCAGGAACAGCCAAGAACATAAATTCAATATGATACATATTTTGAATGATGATCAGGCTCTCAAGTATTATTGACCTACTCATCATCAAGGCGACTTGTTAAGCCGGCCTTCTTTAATGCTTTAACGGGAAAAAATAAGAACTAAATTAGGAGAAAGAAATTAAGTTCACTTAGAAAGAAAAGGCACAAAAGACCTGAGATGGTAACATCCTCCAGGAACAGATGTGACATCAGAACATACAATTTTACCCCCATCAGGATCTGAGTGCATCTATAAGACTATATCTAATCATTTTTAGAGAACATAATGTACCTAGAAACACATTTGGCCATACAACTAAAAACATCTTGGAGATTGATCTACTGGAGAACAGAGTTGAACATTAGATTGCAGCCTCCTGTCTACCAGGGAACTCATCCATTTATTACCTCCTCAAAGCAGATATGACACACAGAACTGCCAAACTCCTCCGCTAAACTAACACTTAAATCTTTATCTAATTCTTCTGATGCTTCAAAGTAAAAAACATCTTTTCTAATTTGACGATGTCAGGAGTTAAACATAACCGAGAACGTATACCAGACTTAGGAACCCTGAGGGGAGGGATTCGAGATCGTCAAAAAAAGGATCTTATACATGTTCTCTGAGCACCAAAGGGAAAAGATAGAATAGGAGAAGAAAATACATGCAAACAATGAAAATGATGCAAATGCTTTTCCAGAGAAGTAACAAATACCTGCGATGAATGCAACCGAGAGCGAGAGCAATTGATCCGGCATAGTGGGGATCTATTTGCCCAGTTACATCATTAAGCAGTGATCTAGTCTGTTTGAAACAAAATAATACACGGATCAGAAAATAGATCATGCCACATGCAAGCAAACAACATGCAGGGAAGAGAACTAGTATCATAAGGTAGGGTAATAGGAAAGCATCAATGAGATTTTTAACATGCAAAAAATGAAATAAATAACAACAAAAATCTGCAAAAACTATTAAGTATCATGAAAACCGACCAATCTGGCAGTAAACATATCATTTCCGAGGCGAGCTAGTAGCCCAAGCCCTTCTGATGATGCCCTGCGTTGTGATTCACATATGCCACCCTCAGCTAGAATACTCTGTCACAGATAAAAGTCATATTTTAACCAATTAAAAGTGCAAAGCGCAAGCTTCTGGAGCTATCATGAGGTAAGCAGGTAAATGAAAAATGACACCATAAAAACCTGAAAGATCCCCTGTGCTGCATTTAATATCTCCATTTCTAGTGGTTGTGACCGTAATGTAAGTAAGGCCTAAAATTATGGCATAATGAACCCATGTTAGACCTGTTTAAATTGCTTCAGCTATGTTGTATGCTGTTAATGAACCAAAGAGAGCATTAGCACCTTTAATCCAGAAAGTAATCCCACGCATATATTTGTGACACGGGTTGCATGCAAAGCCTGTTTCTTTCCGACTTTTAGACACTGTTCAAGTGTGCTAAGGAGTGTTAACATCCCACTGCTATCCTGGGTAATTTACAGATGAAGTTAAAAATTAAATCTACGAATCAGATAGCCATTAGTTGGAACAAGAAAACACACAAAGAAAACACTACCTGAGTAGCAAACATGACTCCGAAGCAAAGGAGCATTTGGTTCACCAACATCTTGCTAATAGTCTCTGGCTGCATATTCAACCAATACCGGTAACAAAGACAAGTTTGTTAGAGGATATGTTTACTAATTCAAAACTAAAATTAAGATAGAGTGACAGACAAATTGGAGACAAATTGGAGACAAATGCAGTTGCCCAAGAAGCTACATACTCAGAAAATGAACTTATAGAGTGGAAAGATCTAGAGGTCCAAGAAGACCAACTACGGAGCAATTATTAAATGTCATGTAAGATAGAGAGCTCACTTCAGCTGAATCTTAATACATGGTTTCATGTAGGCTTTCCATTGCATAACAATGTTGATGTACATACAAGGCTTACAGAAAAGCGAACACAATTAAATTACAAATAAATATATCAAAAACATTTATGGTAATTTGTTGGTGATTTGTGTCATCAAGATTTTGATGTAACTGTGATTTACTTGAGATCGATTAAGAGGCAAACATACAGGAGTTACGAGGTGCGGAGTGCACACTTACAAATGTTGCCCCTATTACCTTAGATCGCCATAAAGCGGGGTCAAGGGGTTGAGCCCCTTGGCGGTGATCCCGCTGTTCAGACTTGTATCTAAATTCTAAAGACTTGGAAATTTTATTAAGTCAGAACTGTGAAACAATGCATACGAAGTTCTGGACCTGCGTGTTCAGACTTAGAAATCTGACAAATCTCAAATCTGGTCCAGAGATAGCTCTGGTCGTGCTAGCCATCTCTGGTTGATCTTCAGCCTATCGCTGAACATGTGTGCTCAGAGATGGCTCCTATCTCTGGTTGGTCTTCGCCCTTCGGCCTATCGCTGAACGACCGTGTTCAGAGATGGCTCCTATCTCTGATTGGTCTTCAGCCTACCACTGAACGTGTGTATCCAGAGATGGCTCCTATATCTGGTCGAGTATATCCAGAGCTCTGGACCTGCATGTTTCAGAACTCAGATTCGGTTGTAACTACTCTTTGACCTTATCCATTAACTGTTATAACCCTTAAACCACCAATAACCGTCGATTTCTCATTTAAATATGTAAAACGAGAATCTGGGTATACGTCTCAATTTTCACAGCCTTTGAAATGTAGAGAAAAACTTAAGAATTATCCCAATACGAAATTTGTGAACCCAAGGCTAATAGGGTCGAATTATTGTATTTGGAAAGTGCTTTCCCACACAATTCTTGAGTTTATCCAGTCCCTTTATCTTCTCCTAAGCACAGTTCCTAACAAATTGAACATAATGGTGTAGCCAGCAGATGAAACAAGATTGAAATTTTTTATGGCTTTTTCCCTTTGGATTGGATCAATAAAAATAACAGAGGATACCCCTTCTACCTGAGGGAAACTGGGGAGCTCGTTCTCCCATACACAAGGCAAAACACCATCTTTTCCACCCTGAAATGCCCGAAGTTCATCTTCAAACCAATCCCTATGCGCCAACAAGAACAAAAATACATTCACAGTTTTCAAGGACATAAGAGTTTGCACAAATGTTGCAAAAAAGTGGAAATCATGGATTCTGGCTGAAATTAGAATAAAAATCACTCAATAGTGAATATGTAATGAGAATGCAACTTTAGAAGAGGTAAATACCTTCCAGGAATCCAAGGACCTAACCAAGCATCTCTGCTGTCAAGAAGTATCCTCAAGTAGGAGCTTTCTTCGTACTTGGAAGCATCTCTGTTCCCAAATCCAGCATAAAAGGCCAAAGACATATACTTCATAAAATTGCAATGAAATCCAGCATGACATGAAACATATAAAGTCAAAGGATTAATGACAGAAATGAACCTTTTTACCTGAAGGGACTTGTACATATTTGAATAATTTCAGGGTGATCACTCTTGTATGCCCTTGGATCAGAAAGAGACTGATAAGCCATCAATGTTCTGCTGATGAAAATGTCCATAGAAGGCTTCGCATCAACCGCCTTGGTTGCTAAGGAGGAAATATATGATAATGCCCTGTTTCTCATCATACATTGCATTTGAAGAATCAGCAAAAACTACATGTACGCGTTGAACATAAACAAGGCATCAGTGCTCTTTAATTCTAACCGTACCGATTAAGGTATAATAGCACTGGTTGGAGCAAGATCCCCTTGTTCACAGCATCATGGGAAACAAAGCATTTTATAAATGCGTTTAGTGCATCAACTGCAGCAGCCCACACACTAAAAAAGAACATGAGTAACTAAATCAACTTCATTTACAAGGGTTGATCTAAACAAGATGACGTTTATATCTTGGAAGCTTCTACTATCATACAACCAGAGGAGTAGTTGATCCAAACTTCATTGCATGTCTCATTATCTGTATCTCCACATGAAGCATACATGCATTCTCAGAATTATTTCTACAGAACCATGAATGTAAACACAACTTCGCTGCATGTTGTATCCTTATAATATAGTAAAAAATGAAGTGTTGGAGAAAGAATTGTAAGCATATACTAGATGTTTCAATGACTGAAGTGCAAAGTTTAGACAACAGTAACAGAACAAGGCATCTTATTTATTTGAGTACAATGGCAAGTAATGGAACATGTCTTAACTCAGCTCCTACCAACAACTTGAAAATTAAAACATTTTCCAGCAATTCGTAGCAATATTAACAACTTGAAAATTAAAACATTCCATGACTGGAATCAGCTCAAGCAAGTCAAAGTTACATACTAAGAGTTCATCATCAAAAGCTAGAGGGTAGTTGAAGCTTACAGGTGGACATAAATAACTGCTACCAACAGACATAATTCCACCATGAAAGGGCATAATCGATGAAGTGGACTAACCTTATTCTAGAAGACAGATCCTCTGTTGAATCTACTTGATACTCTTGGCCTCGACTAAAGAGGTCAGCCCATAAAGAAAGAATATCAAACACCTGGTCTTCCATCTCCTGCACAATTCATGCAGCACCTATAAGAATCAAGAACCACTATAGTATCAAAGAACAAAAACGCTTACCTCCTTCGGCATGGAAGACAGTAAGGATGATAGAAGTAACCATCCAGCTTCTTTTTCAACTGTGGCGACCACAGGATTCCGACTAGCTTCTGTAAGCATTTTCCTAGCAACATCAAGCATTGTTCTGGGCAATCTATGCACAAAAACAAACAAACACGACTGTTTATTACCACTTATGCATTACAAAATGTCAATCAAGAAAATAAAAGAACAAAATCAAGTCCATAGAGTATGCAGAAAGGGTTCTTCAAGATTAGGACCATGTGCTCGGTTAATGTTCCTATTGCCTCGCCAAACACAAGTTCCAACCCTCTGGCTTGTAAGGTCAGACTCAGCTCCATATAATTACAGTAACCTATTCTTCTGAATTCAAGCTTTGATGAAATCCCAAATACTACAAGATCTCAGCACTCTAGATTCAATAATCGTATGAGACTATGAGAGTAATCCTTGTCAGGAAGTACTCTTTCATATGTTAAGTCCTCCATCTTACAGACATGTGCATCACCCCTAAATAATTCATCTCCCTCATCATGACACCCACAAATGAATCATCTCCCTAATTATGATGAGTATAGATCAGCCATGTGCGAACTGATATTAATTATAAAAATGAGGGTTCTAGTGTTGTTTTTGTTAAGAGGGAAGATCACGATGCATATAGTACATCATGGTCAAATAAAGAAAAAAAGAGAACATCAAACAGTATTAAATCAAATCATCCCTAGGCCATGCCTAAATCATATGATTAATTCACTGCTAAATATACCTAACGCCTCTCTTCAAGTTGGAGCAAATACACCAAACATGCCCAGCTTGTCGCATATGGGTGAATTTCAGATCCCCATAGAGTTTTTGTCAAGTAGTCAGCAAGCTAATCTTTGAAGAAAACCCAAACAGGCTCAGTAGATGGGCGTCCGCAAGAAGTCCCCACCACCCAATGGATGGTAATCAACCCCAATGTTTTTGGTCCATTCATGGAAGATCTCATTATTGGATATGTGCATAGCAAACATGTTCTCACAATGTACCAACTTAGTTGAAGAATCTCCAAACTCCTTTATGAGGCATTGTTTGGATATTCGGAAATCTGGCGCCCATGACCTGAGTAGAGAAGGTCCTTCCCTTGAGCTCCTATGAGATATATCAAAATTTGAATTACAGCAGTCTATGATTAGTTTGTGGAGAGAACATGAACCAGCTTACCACACTCACTAATAAGTTAATGCCTAGGTCTTATGACTATGAGATAATTCAACTTCCCTGCCCATCACCTAGTCTTCTAGAAACTCTCCTTTGTATGGATAAAGTTTGATAATCAGAATCATCGCAAACCAAGTACATACTTTGACAAAAAAAAAAAAGATCCTAGGCTTTGACCTTGAAAGTCCTTGATCAGAAATTCTATTTTGAGTAAATATTTGAGAGTGGTAAATATAAATATTTTGAGAATAGTAAATATCTGAAACGACTAATTCGTCTACATAGAACACCAAACCCAGTTTTTTGGCATGCTTTTGTTGGAAAAATGTTGAATGATCATACTCACTTTGAGTCATCCCAAAAGGTCTCTAAAGTCTAAAGAATCAAAAAGAATATACTTGAAGAATTTCCTATAAACCATTAAGAAATCATATCAATTGACATACTTGGGATGAATCCTAAACCATAAACCCCCTCCACTATAATTGCATTAAGAAATACATTCTTGATATCAAACTAATGCAGTGGCAATGACACATGCAAGCATAGGTTAATAACACCAATTGATGTATTTTTGCCCCATGAGTGAAGGTCCCATCATAATCTTTACTATAGAAATAACAATACTCTTTGGCTATTGATCAGGCTTTATAATGTGCAAGAGTACCATCAGGCTTTAGGTTACAGTGTACACTCACTTGCAACCAATTGTATCCTTCTCACGTTCCATTCTTCCATAGATCACACAGTTCCTCGTTTATTGCCTCCTTCCATCCTAGATGAGCTAGACTAGAGCCTTATTAACACCCCAAGCAATATATTAACTATGCATGGACCATGGTTATTGGTTAGGTGAAAGGCGTAATGGCACAAAGAGAGATTAGTCTAACAACAGTTAACGGTAACAAAGTACCATAATATAGCAATAGGCTTACCAACACAAGTACGTTTTTCTGTGTGATAGGCTATGGGAAGCTCGGGGGAGTTTCAGAAGTATAAGACACAGTAAGAGTAGAGTAGCGGGGTCCACAGTGTCTCGAATGGACACTATGCTATTATGGGTTATATCAGTGTATCTCCGCCTTCATGCATATACCTCTTGACGTACATAATGCGCTGAAACTAAATTTACTTCTATTGTAAGAAAGTGGTCCCGACCAATGAGATAAAACTCATAATAACCAATAAAGTAACAAAGTAACTGGAAAGCCAATCTCACATACATTACAGCTTACCTTTCTACTATCTATCTGTCTCACTTCCTATAGCTGTGATTTCTATTTATTCTTCACTTTAGCATACTTATCCAGCATAAAGCCATAGAGAGACCTTCTGAGAGTTTCTTTGAGTTCAAGAAGCTGAAAGAGATACACAGCCTGTTCATTATCTTCTTAAAATCACCTTTAAACCATGTACACACTAGTATGACACATACTTTATCCCTCTCCAAACAACCCTTATAAGCAAGCGTCAAAGAACCTCTAAACATAATTACAGAATTAAGATGAATAGCAAGTTTTAGAAATATTCACCATCTTCTGCATTAGTACTTCATGAAACAAGCTACAAGGTCAGCAATCAAGCAGAATGCTAGAATGATATTAAAGTCATATAGCATCACCTAAGGAAGCTGGCAACCGCATTTACAAATATAATAGGCACCATGACTCTCAAGCTGTGGCACATTCCAAAGGAGTCGCCTAGCCACATAAGATAATGGCACGCACCATGAACCCAAAGGCTGATACAACTTTAAGATCTTGACTTGTTTTAACAGAACAAATACCTAAAACAGTCGGCCTTTTAGGTCTATCGTGCAGGGAGCCCATAAATCTTTTTATTGAATATTAGAGCGTATAATAAGCAGACAAGCTACTTGCTTCTGCAAATCTGTGAACAGCTCATGTAGCTAGGGTAGCTGAAGCATCTTTGCAAATGTTCTTGCGACACTCTTCCATCTCTTCTGTAAGATTTTTTGCAGCAAGTTTTCTTTGATTCAAGTGATTCAACTTGCTTGCTTACTTGTATAGGCTTCACTTTTCTTTTCGGTTTGCTTTAATATAGTAGGATAAAAAAATCCTAACTGGGTGATGGTTATTTCTATTTAATGACTATTACTGTGTGGTTGCCAATTATGAAAGGCTATACCTCTGTATATTGACTTGGTCATTGTTTTGTGATGTTTGGTGCTAATAGCTATAAATACTAGCTAATGGTTTACTGATTAGTTATTTCACTGTAAATAGATATTATAATGTCCTTGCGTATTTTTAAAGGTTGCGAAAGATAGCATATGCTGCATGTCATAGCTCGCTTTCAAGTTGGCACCATGCCTGCACTTTGCACTGTGACTACCATGAATATGATATGATAACCATGATATAGGCAATCTCTAAGATACAACTTGTAATTCTTGGGCAAGAAAATATAATGTTGCAAAGTGGGTGTTACCTGGCTGGATAGCCAAGAGGTAGCTTTGGGGAAACAGATGCAAGTGCAGCCAAAACTGTAGCTTGTCCACTTAAGGAATCGAGCTCAATCTTCAAATTGTCTCCCTATATACGATTATGAGAGAACAATTAATAAACAAATATTAGAGAATTAAACAAGTATAATGATACTAGAAATACAACTTCTTGCAGACCAATACACATGCCTTTTCTTACAATACAGGCCTCTTGGTATTTCGAATCAAAATTAAGGGCACATCCTAAGCAGAAAACTGAAGTAGGTGATGCATCAAATTTTACATGCAACTCCAACTTACTACAATGTTTTCACTAGCAAAGAGTTGATGAATACCAAGATGTGGAGCATGCACAAATGCGCAAAAATGATGGTTTCACAGTAAACAAGTGGGTGTTATTTATCTTGATAATATATAATATATACAATATTTTTGTTCAAACTACCATTAACAAGTCTCACTCAAACTTCCAAATGATATTATTGTATGCCTAAAGACAAGCTATCGCGATCTTTGACAATGTTATGATCAGCCCTATTACAGGAATATAATAACACTTGAGCATTGGATAGGGGATTTGGGTAGGTAGCATGTGGACAGTTGGTACCATGGCTATATATACCTATCTTCCCGTATGTAAGCATGCTATGAATATTTTTTCCCCTCCAAATCTCCTCCGCAATTCTTTCACTCTATTTTTCTCCCTCTATCTCCACAGATTCTATCTATCTACCATCTCTCAACTACGGTGAATTGCAACCAAAGATGGGGAACTGATCGATTACTGAAATGTGTAAACACCAATAATGCTGCCAAATGTTGTAAGAAATTATCCACCAGATAATATCTTCAAAATGACCCCTTCAAGACCAACAAAACAAAGAAATGTCTACATCCCCCTCCCCTCCCCCGCGCCCTGCGCGGGCTGGAGAGGGGGGCACGGACGCTAAAAAAAAAAGAACATACATACATTGCAGGGACATCCACAATAACATGCTTTGAGAGGAGAGATAATACACATACATTGCAGTAATCTCGGTGTAGCATATACAAGTAAATCAGATGACCATATTCAGACAGAAGTTAAGGTTGAAGGGATCAAAAGAATGACACAATTTAGAATAGGCAGCTAGAACTTAAATAGAAAGTCTTGACCAAGTAACAAGACAAAACATACATTTTCATCAAATACGGAAAAGACCAACCAACCAAACAGTATCCCAGTGAACAAATTCAGATAAGGTTAAAGAAAATAATTGATTAAGTTCCAATTTTTCATGAAAGAAAATTGTGTCTTTCATGTCATACCTTCTCAAATGACACATTTTCTCTTAGTGCCTTCAGTGTCGTGATCCCATAATTAACCAAACCACCAACACAGGTCGGATCGATCTCTGCCAGTGCACGCAACGTCAAGGCAGACTCGGCACGTACCTAACGTGGGACCAAAATTTCAAATAAGTATTTGGCAAGTGAACGAACAAAGCAGATAGAATAGATGTACATTGTGAAATTGTCAATAACCAAACCAAACAAACCCAGTATGTCCCACCCAGGCATGGAGTCTGGGGTATGTACACAGATCTGACCTCTACCCCAAAGAATAGAGCGGCTGGATGTCACTGGAACTTGGATGAACACCAAGCCAAAAGTGTAAAAGCAAAAGAAACAGAGTTAAAAGAAAATAGGATATTGATTATTGTGTCAAAAGACAACTAAGATTAGCATTTCATGCTGAATAACATCACTGATCTTCCTTCCATTTTCATCATATTATTCCCTTCCAGCAAGGAAAACATAAAACCCAAAGACAAGGACAAGTGTTATCCTAAAGAGCTATCCCAAGAACTCAACCAAAATGGACCATATATTCTTTCTGTTGTATCTTACGACTCAGCCTGCCCAATGGAGAGCAGAACTCAGCTTTAAATTCTCAAAAGCAACTTCAATATCCAATTACCAACCAAGTAGATAGAATGAGTATAATCACATAGAAGACACCGACATTTCATCCAATCTAGATTCATCCTAAACAGAGACAAATATTATAAAGGCTTCTCAAGACTTTGCTAAACCGCAAAATTATCTTCATTACAATATGAATATTAGGGCTACCACAAGGTTTTATCCTTGAGCAGAGGTTGGTTCCATACATGATACTCTCTGGCAGCAAAAATTCATACATTAGAAGAGAGACATGCACCTAAACACTATTTAATTTACTTTTACCGAGACAGGCATGAGATAATATGCATCTCATGCTCAACCAAAAAGAACAACAAAATATAAATTCCATACAAGTGGTGACGAATTAGACAATGCTGCTACAGCTGTGTCATCAAGAACCTCCTTGAATTCAACCGGAACCTGAAGAAGAACAGAAACATTGAAAGTAATTTAATAGTCATGGTATATAGGAATTTATGGAAGTATAAGAATGTAGCGTAACCTCTAAAACCTAATGCCAAATGCATTTGGCAATCTTCATATTGTTGCCAAACTATTGTCCAACTAGCATGCAATAAACAAGACCGATCTCCAAACAAGAACGAATATGTGATTTTGTGTTCCAGCCAGAAAAAGAAACATGCCACATCCACTCATGTAGTTGGATCATTTCACAAGATCTATTACCTGGTGCTCATGTCATAATAACTACAAAAGTAGCCTCACAATACATCTTACCTCGCCTAATGTTTTTAGAGCATATGACAGAGTGCGTAAAGCAGCAATTTGCATTGACGGACTTGCATCAGGAGACTGAATCTGTGACAGAAAATACGCATCAAGACATTGGAACAAACAGAATCAAGGAAGATCAAACCATATAACAAGGATCAGATATGAATCATTTTAGCAAACCTGCTTCCCTAGATTAACTAGAAAGACCCTTTGTGTAGGTTCAGTCATTTGATCGATCACACCAACCCGTAGGATATAGAAAACACATGCCTACAAACACAAACAAATGATCATCATTAAGTTGAGTGATTCTCCAAATGGAAACCCTTTATAGTAGCAAAAATAACACTAAGAACCAACTCTTTTACACCCCTTAAGAAATGAAAGAGAAGTATTTGTGTGTTGGTAATAATAGTTGGCATATACAAAACAAATTTCTAATGTTGTAGCCCTTTTGCTTCACCAATCATGGCGTTGACTCAACTTGATTTAGTACTTATAAGAACCTGAATATTTTAGGAAAAATATCTAGATCATAGATGGTAGATATTCAATATACGTAAAAGCATTGCACATCGATTTTAAATTAGCCTCTTATTGTTAATCTAGCACTGATTCATATTAAGAATGATCCTGCACAGCATCAGTAGACCCTTTAAGCACTAACACCGAACTTTGATCTAGCACTGATTCATATTAAAAATGGTAGCCACTGGGTACCATTTTTTTTCAATTTATCATTTGTACCATGTGTATGTAGAGTAATCTTCACCATGTCATCACAACAAAAAAATGAAGGCGAATCTACAAATTGATAAGAAAATACCAATGACTGTGCATCTACAGAAGAATCTGCACGAAGCATATCCATAATCTGCACAAGAAAATTTTGGAGCTCGGTGTCTGGCTGCATATACCTAAGCCTTAAGGCCTGAAATGTGATTTAAAGAAAATTTAGAGCATTATTTGTAAAAGAACATATGATTCAAAAACAATGGTATAGAATTCAGAACCCGTAAGCAACTAAACATTCAAATGTTATCAGTGAATTGATGCATGTAACGGCAGGCCAAGGATAAAAAGGCTTAACTCAACTAAACCAGGCCTCCAAATGACAGATAGATCACAATATGGGCCTCACTCTGGCAACCATTTTTTTTCGAACTCTGGTAACTTGATACAAGTACAATCTTGTTTTCAATCTGCCTCAAGGAGTGGCCTCTATAGTTTAAAAGTGACCTGAATGCTATGGTTGTCAATTCTTATATTAAGCAAAGAATCATTATAGAAAATCAAATTCTGATTCATACGAACAAGATAAGTAAAATCTGGAGTTCACAATATATCACTGGCATTTATTTTTATTAGTGTCCATATCTGGAAAGAAAAGAAACAAGTATATGGCAACTACAAACTAGAAATAGCTAAATGAAAGAAAAGGAGAAAGGCAGACATGACATTAACATAGATGAATAGTGTCAGAATGGGATATTATAACAGATAAAGGAAAGGCACAAAGGATAAATGTTGCAGAACAGACAATAATTTACCTGTAAGAAGAACACCCATGATAAGGTTAGACCAATTCGCAAATCCTTCGAACGGGGTCCACTTGCTGCAAAAATAATATATTTATCAACATGTTATATATATTGAGAAAACCAATACATTGGAGGTCGTATGTTGAAAGGTCCTTTCACAATTAAAGCTATTGCTGCTGAAATGATTGCTCTGTCATTATCCATTGCAATTCTACATTTCTCAGTACTCTTATTTCCAGAAGTGAACTCTTTTAGACACATGCCTAATTCATAACAGACTGACCTTTAGTGAAGGGCAATATAAGATGCTTTTGCAAACCCCCCTCGAGTTTTTTTGCATTAAACTGGCCTTTCCCCTTTGGTTGCACCTAAAACAATAAAATGTGAGATGGTTATAACAAAACAAAGAGAGACGTAAATTTGAGAACCAGATGGTACACCTGCGCTTGAGGGTTCATTCCAAGAGCAAGCAAGGCTCCCAAAGCTTCTGCAAAGGCATCCCGAACCAACGATACAGGATCTTCAAGAGCCTTATGAAATGCAGAATATCAGATACAGAATTTTGATGCTACAGACTACACAGAGTAACTAGAAAAAGACACAAGTGGTACCTTGACACAGTGAGAGGAGGAATTGTCAAGCTCTCCAACTCCTAGACCGGGGCCTCCAATGTTAGCAAAAGCTTTCAAACATCTTGCAGCAGCTTTCCTGACAATAAATGATTTATCTCCGACACCCAACCGCATTATTATACGAAATGCTTCTGCATATGCAGGAGAAGAACCGTTGCCACCAGAACCCTCTAGAGCATTTCTAAGCATCTGCAAAGCCTCTTGTCTTACAAAATCCTAAGCATAAAGCAGTAAGAAACTTGGTGTAAGGGAAAAACAACCACTTAAACAAGGTTGAAATACGAAATCAATAGAAAGAGAAGAAAGGAAGAAAGTTCAAATTTGTAACTATGCAATTTATTATGTTTGAAACTAAAAACATTCCTGATCAATGAAGAACAAGAAGATATGATTCCCATAAGTAGTAGTCTTTTCAATTCCCAGGAGGTAAACAGCCTTCATGCTTCTTCATACACAATGTCACAATAGTTGGTTACATTTTTCATGAGTCATGACCACGGCAGATTAATTTAAATACAGTGGAAAACCAGCTATTACAAAAACATGCATACAAAACAAATAAAACTTTTAAGCCAGTTGTAATACCAATAACATTTACAAATTGGCACTTTCAGCCTTCAATCAGCAGCATTGAAAGTGATCGTGTAAATGTTTCTACTTTCTAGGATCAATACTCAAAGTAAAATAATTACCTAAGTTAAGTCACTACATCATAATTCTGAACTCTGCTTGTGGCCCTTTCCTTTAAGATTAAATTCCCTTAAATTTGCACTTCTTAGCTATCCTGACATAACTATAGAGACCAAAGGGCCTTTGGCCTAGCGGTATGTGAGCCTTTGGCGTCCTAGGAGTCAGGGGTTTAACCTCACCAAAGGTGAGGAGTGTGAGTGAGTTTATTCGTCTGTTTGCCGTATATAAATATTATATACTTCAAAAAAAAAACATAACTATAGAGCAGGGGAGATTTGTATTTATCTTTACTGTTCGACTGTTTATGTGAAATTGTTAAGCTTTGCATGGCAAAAGCTAAAGTGCTGAACTGTATATAGCATTATCCAATTCAAGAATCCCCATTATCAAGTAATTACGGAGAACCAACAACTGTCATGATACAGATTGCTATGTAACAAACTAATAATATGTTTGTCTATAAAAAGACATCTTGCTGAAGCATTTTGCAACACCCATTGTAAAAGTACTTCAGAGAAATATTACATTACAAGAAAATAAGACATGGTCTCTAAGGTTACCTCGGAAAACTTCATCAATTTTGTTACAATACTAGTAGTTTCAAGCAAACCAGATGTGATTTTCCTCCCAAATAGCCTATATAGCTCCCCCAAGCACTGTGCAGCACCTGTATTCATTGCAACAAATAAGAACTCCCAAGATACACTGCAGAAACACATAGCAAATAACAAGGCTGCCAAAATGGACAATAAAAGTAAAATCAATTCATGACATCAACTGAACAGGATGAATAAGCAAGCACCAGACAAGTAACTTAGCGAGTTGATGATTCAGACAAAGTTTCAAGTAGTTGTAGAAGAATCAATCTAACCAACATGTACAGCAAGCCATCTACAACATTTCAACGACACCACTAGCAACAAACACATTGAAATTTTACTTATAACGATATAACCTGAAATACTGAATGAATGAATGACTCATATTACATGCAAAAAGTGTTGATAACATGCTCTCTTATTTATATAGATAAAATATGATCAACCCTCTATGCAGCTGCAATTCAATAATAAGTCTGTTGCCTTCCTGATTGTCAATATAAAAAAAATGAGAACAATGAAATATAAATTGTATATTAAATGATTCTTCAGGTACATGACCGTTAGACAATAACTAAATTTCACATGAAAAGACATGCATACATATCAGGATTAAACTTGAAATAAATTGGCAGACCAGCTATTCGCAAAGGCGCATTCTTCTTTCCCTCGGAGAGAAACCCCTGTAGACTGCTGACTCTTGAGTATATTGAGATACTATCTCCCTTATATATGATTTTACCCATTGCAGCAGATGCCAGATGACGCACAGGGCGCCTTGCACCAAGAACCAGCAGAGAGAAGAGTGCATCCTCACATTTCCTTTGCCACAGAAGTACAGACTCCTGATCATTTCAATTTCATTACTCAAATGTAGAAATCATATCCCAAATTTGACTTATGGTATTCAAACCTTACTTCCCATATTCTAGCTTTAGGCAACATAAAGTTTTGTTTCATATAATTTGCCCACTAAAGTTCTGGATTAGCTGAGGTTGACCAGAATGTATTTCTGTTCCCAATGTAACTCATATCAGATTCAAGATTGATTAACTTTTGAATTGTTATTCAACCAAACTTTTCTAAGTCGCTAACCTAAGCTAATTCCTCTTCATGCTGTACTTTATATGGTTTCGTACAGGATTCGTTTTTTAAACAATGCAAATTCAGTCAACTTTAAAGTTGGAAAGTAGTTAGTGTATCTCTTTAGCATCAAATATGGACTCTGTTGTTCAAACATGATGAATGTTACCAAAATCAATGTCAAAAATGGATGCTTGTTCCTTTGGCTCAGTCCAGCTGTCACTGATCAAGTGATGAAAACTAAATAAAATAAAACCTCTTATACACACAAAATGGGCTTCAATGAACTCACATTCTATAGTGTTATCGTAAGGTTGGAGTGAGGTTATTTTCCTGTGCTAGAGTGTAAATAAAAATGGATGATTGTTTATTTCATGTTGCCTTGTTCCTACATTTAGACTGTAAATTGTTATCATGTTTCACAATCAGTAGGTTTTGGCGTCATTAAACGATCAAAATCATCATATCTAAGGTGAAGTGAAACAAATCAGAGGATCACAAACAAATGTATACAGATGCTGACCTTGGGCTCGTCATGAATGGATGAAATGAGATCGGAAAGAAGATCGAAGCAGAGGAGAGGGTCAGGAAGCTTGTGAGATGCGGAAGCGACTATAGATTCCAATTGTGCCACTAAAACTCCAAATCTTGAAAGAGGGACGTTTTCTCTTACGTAATTCTTCGCCATGGAAGAGATTAGAGTGCTGCTACTTCAGTCTTGTTAACAGATGCAAGATCCATCATGTGATAGAGAGAGAGATTGATTGATTGATTTTCCCCCAACAAAGCTGGGTGTTTAGGGTACAAGTATCGCGAAAAAGAAAAGATAAAATAAAATTTTATATTTTTTTTTATAGTTTATGATAAACTAGAAGTGTACTCGCGCAATGCAGCGAGATATATCATGATTTTAATATTTCATTTTCTTTTTTATCTCAGTCGATATTATAATATGGCTTTATGTGATTTTAAGAAAGCGATAATGTTTTTATTTTTGAATAAAATATATGTTTGAAGATATCATAAAAATTTGACAAAAATATATCGATATTAGTATCAAATTAACTATTTGA